CATTGCAACTAAGTTCAAGTCCGATGATGCCAACACCAAAGCCATTTCGCATGGCGTAACTGTTGAGCATGTCACCTACAAAGCCAGCCGCTTCGTAGATAAGGTTGATACCACTTTCACGCGTGTCAACCTCACCCTCTTTCAATTTGAGGATGAAGCAACCTTGATAAGTAAGCTTAAGAAATCTATGGCCATTTATGGCAAGGTGTGCCAGATCAAGATGCTTACCAATCGAGGTTTCTTTGAGGGCGAACTTTCCATCTTGCTTGACACCAGCGGTAGAGATGACGATGACCCTTCCCCCGTACAACCATTGGACCGTAAACTGTTCTTGTCTGAATGGGATACGTTAGCCCCTGCCAGCTGGAAAGGCGCACCTCCTGTCTGCTACTACTGTCGCCAAGCCGGGCACGTTCGTAAAGACTGTCCTGCTTTGCAAAATTTGACCTGCTATAAATGTCATCGCAAGGGTCATATTCGCCGAAATTGCCGCATGTCAGACGTCCCCGTTCCTGTTTTAAACGTTAATGAGCAAAGTGATACTGACGCCATTGCCGAATATGAAGTCCTGAGTGAACTCGCCCATAAAGAACGCCCCACCGATAGCCCTACACATTCCTCTACCATCAATGATGAGTCTGGCCTTATCATCCCGAAAAAGTCAAAACGATATACTACCCGATCAACGACCGCTAAGGCTTCTGTAGATCATACTTTGTCTCCATTCAATACACCCACTGGTACTGCCGGCTCAAAATATGCCAGTATCACTGTTGCTGCCAGTATGGCTCTGGACGAGCCTGCAACACCTGCTTCTTCCGATGCGAACACTAGTTCGGCGACTACACCCCTTCATAGTCGTTTAACTCCTGCTCACACCGATGATATGGATCTGATAATAGATGCGGATACCACTCCTCCCAACATAGTCATGACCGCCCAGGAGGGCAATGAATAATCGACCAATACGCGTCGCATCCTTAAATGCTCGCAGCATTTTCAAGGATGCTAACAAATATACCCAGAAACAATATATATCCCATTTACGTTCCCCTGCTTTGTCTGTTGACATTTTATGTCTCCAAGAAGTATCCGCATATCATTCACAAGACCACCTCACAATCGATCAAATCAAATATTTCCATTCCTTCCTCTTTCCCCAGTGTGCAATCCTACTCTCTAAGTATTGTGCCATTATCTGTTTAAACCCGACGTTATTGTTAACAGATGAAATTGTCACTTTCGATGAACGCTGTTTACAAGCGACCATCATCGATACAGTTACCCGTAATTTTATATGCTCTATCACTAATATTTACGTTCCAGCAACTACCCATGATAGAATGCCTTTCCTCGCCTCCTTGATGTCACAACCGTTTTTTACAAAGGAGGCTCCAGATGTCAGCTTTATTGTTGGCGATTTTAATATGTCGCTAGCTTCTCTATCAACCACTTCGACCAATCCTAGTTTTCATGAATGGTATCGTCATCTCACTCACTATTATGATAACTGCTTCTCTGCAAGCATTCCTACTTTCCAGCGTGGTGTCACTCGCAGTACCATCGATTATTTCTTCTGTCACCGAAGTATTACCGCACGAGTCCTTAACAGAACTCAACGGTACCTACCTAGCGCTTGGACAGACCATGTCCTCATGATGGCTGACCTGTCATCCGATCGTTTGGACGTAGGACCCGGGGTATGGCGCTTCAACCCTTTGCTGCTGTCTAACGATATATTTGTGGATTTATTAAAGACTGCCCTCATTGAGTTCTTTGACGTCCGTAATAATATCACCTCCAACCCACAAAGTACCTGGGAGGCTCTAAAACATTTATTAAAACACATTGCAAACCTATTCTCCCATGGATCTACTGCTAAAAGGCAGACAACCATTGCCGAACTTCAACACCAACGGGAAGCCCTGCTTTCCTTAAATAAGCCAGCATTCAATATAACCAACAGACAAGTGTCGCTTATTGAACAGAAACTAGACAAATTGCAGGAAGAATCCGCGCAGCAACATCTTTTACGGTCAGCCACTCGATGGCATGAGAAAGGAGAGCGCAATAATAGATACTTTTACAGGGTTATCAAAGAAAGACAAGCACAACGAACGATTCAATCTTTAAAAAGTGGTCAAGATGGCCCTGTCTTAACTAGTACTAATGCTATCCTTGAGGAAGCTCATATGTTCTATAGCAACCTTTACCGCCCTGATCCTATCGACCTGTCGGCCGTTCAAACGTTACTCGATAATGTTCCGCAGGCGATTGGTCTTACAAACGCTCAACAGAATGATCTTACAGCACCGCCCACGTCAGAAGAACTAATTTCTATAGTTAACCACTTGCCCTCACAAAAAAGTCCTGGTTTAGATGGCATACCGTATGAGGTTTACCGCCATCTGCTTTCCTGGAACATTCCGGGCTTTAAGCAACTCTTCCTTCAAGTGTATGCTGACGCCTTTGAAAATATTTTCCCAGCCACCTGGAAACAAACTCGGATGGTCTTACTGTACAAAAAGGGAGACCCTGAACTCTTACAGAACTGGCGGCCTCTATCGATGATCAACACTGATGCGAAGATTTTCACAAAACTATTAGCTAATAGGTTCAATGTCGTTTTACCACAGCTGATTAATCGCTATCAGACTGGCTTTTTACCGCACCGACTAATCTCGGATAATGGGTGGGTTAACCAAATACTAATGTCACATTATAGCCATTGTGGTATGTCTCACCCTGCTGTTGCTGTCCTCCTTGATCAAGAAAAAGCATATGACCGAGTACATCCTACCTACCTTCAGATGGTTATGAAGCATTTCGGCTTTCCTGCTTCCCTCGTATCTTGTTTATCTAGCCTATTTTTTGACACAGAAATATCCCTTAACATCAATGGATGGTTAAGTGCTCCCGTTCGCCAACAACGTGGCCTTCGGCAGGGAGACCCCTTATCACCACTGTTGTTCAATTTAGCTTTCGAACCCTTACTACGTACCATTTTGTCGAGCCCTGACATCAAAGGCGTTTCACTTCTCTCAACCTCCGCCTCCTCTAGTCGATATGGACAACTTCTAGCTCGCAGTCTGCGTGTCCGTTTTGAACCACAGCCTTTGTTTGACTGGCAAAACCCCCCTCGTTTCAAATTATTGAGCTATGCGGATGATTTAGAGGTTTTCTTGACCACACCTACGGAATGGCGTGTCTTGAAAGAACTCCTTACAGTTTATGGTAACGCTAGTAATGCCCGTGTCAATTTGACAAAAACAGAAATTGTTTCCCTCTCTGGTCATCCGCATACGGCATGGCTCCATATTGCTAATCAGGAATCTGTAACCTTTCATACAGCTGAAAGTCCATCTGCTGCCAAATATCTCGGCTATCCTCTCTTCTCAACCAATGCTCAACTAAAACACTATCTAGCCTCCCTTGAACTGAAAATAGTCCGTCACTGTAACCTCCTGAAACAACGGGGATTGTCTGTCCGAGGTGCCTCACTAGTTGCTAATTCCTTGATACTTAGTAAGTTATGGCATCTCCTGCGTGTTGTAGTTGTTCCGGTGGACTGGCTTGATAAGCTTCGTAGCATTGTCCGGTCTTTTGTGGTTCCTTTCTGGCCTGCTCCATCGTGGGAGCGCTTGTGCTCACCTAAACGTTTTGGTGGTTTAGGCTTAGTGGATCTGCACCGACAACAATTAGCTCTTCATCTTGTGTATGTTCAGCGCCTTCTACAGCCCCCTTCATCAACCGATTTTGTCTCCCCATTACTGGCACATTGTATCCAAGTGTACACCGGTCAGTTGTCCTTACTACCATGGATTTTATCGACTGCCACTTATCGTTCATCATTTCGCTTCCTTCCGAATATGATCCACCTATGTTCTCTGCTGATGAAACTTCCTTCATCATCTCTTTCCTCCTCATGGCATGGCCGCTGGATTGCTGATTTGCCCCTTCGTAGTGTCTTACAGCGTTCCCCCTCGTTTGTAGGCCCCTTACCCGTGGATCTCAATAGCCTCCCACGGCATTTAATCGTCTCTACTGTTCTCCTTTGGTCTTCGATAACTAACTGCTTCTACACGCTAGGGTATACGTATTTTCAGGACTATCCGAAACTGAAAAGGATACCTAGTTTACTTTCCCAAGGTGTAATACAATGGCTTCCTTTTATTCAGAACCGATTGATTGACGTCCGGGCCCCTCCTCCGGCTGCTGCTCCTACGCCCACTTCACGATGGCCTAATGTATCTTACAGCTCCTTATGGTTGCCTGATATGTCCCAGTGGCGTGTACCTTCTGGTTCTCAGAACAATACCACCATATTAAAGCTTTCGCTTGGTATGCTACGGCTATACTGGCATCCTGATTATTCCGTTTTTAGTGACCCTCCTCGGATTCCTCAAGTGTTTCCTTTATGGTATCGGCCTCCGGCTCAATGGAAACGGTTCTGGTCACTCTCAATCCCTCATGCAGTGCTAACTCCATGGTGGCGTTTATGGCATAATTGCATTGGGTACAGAGCTTGGCTGTTTTCCATCAATCCTGTCATAGTTGACTCCCCTCTTTGCCGCCATTGCAGAGACTCCCCTGAGGATGGTTTTCATTTTTTCGTTGGTTGTCCACCTAAATGGCAATTTTGGATCACGGCACTGGAGGAAAATAGAATTATCTCTTTTCTTGCCACACCTACTGGCATTTGGCATATATTGTTAACACTTTGTTCCCCGTTAGATAATTCTCCTCTGCCTGACCACACAATCGTTCAGGTTAGTTTGATACTTTTAAGTATCTGGAAATATCATTGGCGCTGCCATTTTGATCGCATCTCTTGGTCCCTAGCAGGAGTTCGTACCGTCTACCAACACGAGGTTCGATTCAGAACACTCAATACGAGCTCGTAGTATATTTAATGGTTTCTTTGTAGTAGTTTTTATAGTGTATGCCTTTTCTTCACTTCTTTATTGCCACTTATCAAAATATAATTTATTGTCCGTTGTTAGTCACTTTTAATAAAGTACGTGAATTAAATACAAAAAAAAAATCTGTTCAACGAAAAAGTTCACATCGCTTAGAGTAACATTAATATGAGCGGTGAAGAATATATGGAGTTCATGGACATTGATGGTCCTGAATTCATTTCTGATGTCAATTCTCAAATTGCTTCAATTCGTGCTGATGTCGAAATGACAGACTATCAATCGACATCAGCAACTGCTGTCAGTCAAGCTTCCATACAACCTTGGGGTAAAGCTTTCTATCTGTAGTTATTTTACTCTTCAAATGAGAATATATAGATGTTCAAAAATGCTGTATTTTTGATTATGAAAAAACCTAGATATCGAAGCATTCGCAGAAGTTGCAGTTTTGGATACCAATTTTTTATTGTCCAAGTTGGGTTATTTAGATACAGTTCTAGATCTCGCGAATGCTAACCCAGGAAGTTTGCTGGTCGTTCTACCTTGGATTGTTATCCAAGAATTAGATAGTCTTAAATCCAGAGTGAGTGAGATAAGTTTTAAACGAAGGAGTACAATTTTGACTGCTGACCGCCATTCTACGCTTTAGGCGTCTGAAAGTGTCAAATCGAGCGTTAGAATGGCTATGCGTTTTATCGAAATAAGACTTTTACAGAAGATGACTTCTTTAAGAGGACAGCAAATGGATCAGGTCTATGACAAATACTTAGAGGTAAATCTGTGACGGGAAAATACAACCTGCGAATGCACGTAACAGCTGATACTGTCCTCAGTCATCGAAAAGAAATAGCAACGTTAAAGGCGACGATCGCATTTTAGACTGTTGTTTGTACTTCAACAAAGTCAATCGTAAACCAGTAACTTTACTTTCAAATGATAGAAATTTATGCATCAAAGCCATGATTCACCAAATTGATACTGTTTCGGCAGAATCTGTCCCGAAATTGGAATCCCTTCTTAATAAGCTACTGTCGAGCAAACCCTTCACTAAAAAGACAGCTCCCACCTCTTCGTCAGCAGTAACTCCAACAATAACATTATATGACCAACCGAAAACTGTTGATTTATCTTTGTACGATGACCCACCAACCATCAATATACCCCTATCTTCCTTAATGAGCTCCAGTCAACGACAAGAAGCACAACAGCAGAGCCCATCAACCATTGAGGATTATGTAAGTATAATTAAACATGTCTATAGTTCTATTTATTCACTGAAAGAACTTCCTTGCTCTTTAGTCAATGGATGTCGACGATGATGACAGTCACTTCTACACTTCTAACTCACAGCAACGCACCCTTCATAATTCTTCTACCACTACCAACTCTAGTACAATCAATGCAGTTGAGGATATTGATTGGTTGCGAAATGCCAAAGGAACTGCTTACAGCAAATGGGCTACAACATCTGTTCCTACTTATGATCCATATGTACGGAAAACACATTATTTTGATGATGGACCTGCTTGCTTGGACAACGATCCCACATTAACAGCCCCCAAGCGACCTTATAGACCAAATCATGTTAGTCGCTTTGATAGCAGACATTAATAAATTATTTCCTCCTTGATACGCAGAAAAGGAAACAAAATATGTAGCACCTCTTTACAATGATTTCGATTTTAGAACGCGGGATTGAAACAGTGCTCCATTACTGCTGGATTTGAGCTCTATTATGCAGTGCTTATTTTGCATTTAGTTTGAAGCTAGAATTTCATCCACTTAAATGAGCACTGGTAAGCCATACATTGTACATTTCTGTCATGACTAAAAATGTAGTAGAACAATCATCAAGCTAAAACCAACAATGGATAAAATCCCGCGGCAAACATTAATATATAATAACTTGTGTGCAAGTTAGGTATACAATGAATTGATTGAATTATACAATATAGAGTGAGGGTATTGAAATAGGGATGAATAGCTCTGGTGAGCTTTGCACGAATAAAGGACTGTTACTACTTATACAATCTGTTGGAATGAATTTAGCGTTGAACTACTTCGAGAGAACTTGAGTTGACTAATATCATAAAGCTCGTAATAATTCATTGCTGCGTTGGTAGCATTCTTCTTCTTTGATCCTCCAGAATCTATAACCGGTTCTGACCAGAAGTCTAAGCAATTGTTCCAACATCCGCGGTCAAAGACGTTCCCTCTTATCACATAACCTCTTCTATTACGTGCTTTATGTAACGCACGAGCACCTGCGACAAGCTGTAAACAAGGACACATGTCGGCACATCCTTTGTGGTGATGTTGGTGACGATGTTGATGCGATGCTGATGCACTTTCTAAATCATTCGGCGGTGGTTCAATTATAGCAGAAGGGCCATCACTACCTGCGGTTGTTCCTCCCGCCACTCTTGGAGATGTCTGCTGTGCTACACTCATATAAGAATAACGGTTCATATTGGCACTTTCATTAGTGGTTATAGCGACTGCTACTTGATATAATTGGACAGCTAATAAGAATATCGACCACGTCAATTGGAGGAGTACCCAAATAGTAAGAGATAATGTCCATGCGTCGTAATCAAAATAACCGCAAATGGTAGAACCTAGTAAACAAGCGCTATCAAGACCATGATCATAAATAGGTGCTGCCGTATTCGAAAGGTCTAAATAACATATGAGCTATGTATTACTATTCTGCACCACCTGGTTGATAATTAAGGAATAAAAGACTTACATTGCACTGATAATATAGTAAATGATATGATAGCTATCACCATATTGATTAGAAAAATCAAGAATGGCCTATGGTTACGGACACCGATGCAGTTAAATATCCACGGACAATGACTATTTTGAATAATGGTTTAGAATTTAAAGACGATAATTGACTAATTGTGAATGCTTCTGACAGCTTACTGATCGAATTTGGCTACACATCTATTACAGATTTTACAATGTTTCGACCGTAGAGGTTTTCTTATCTTTTCGTAATAATGAATTAAGCATTAATCAGATAGCTCGACTTCATTCGTCTATAGATACTTACAAGACAGGTCAAACAAAAATGTCGAACATCCAAGATATGACTATTTGCTAAATCTTCAACTATTTGCCGCTGTTTTTCTTTCGAGAGGTCTTTCCTGATAAATCCTGGATCTGATGCAACGGCTTTAAAGAAGGCAAACATAGCACCAAAGAATGTAATCAAAAATATCAAATTGGTGAATAGAAGATATGAGGTCGCTACATTAGAAATTTTGACATGAGTAAGATTGATTATTCACAGTGTACGCTAAGCCTTTTTTTTTGCAAAACCTACAAGGCAAAACAATCCACATCCATGTTATCAACACCCAAAATGCCGAAGCTTGGAAAATACTCGAGAAATAGGGTGTTTTCCAGACTGCATCATGGCTTGGAACTTGAATCAAGTATTTCACGATACCCATGTGAGTCACCGCAAAGGTGGCAATTGCAAGTGGCAATCCCACATACCAGGAAACCATAGCCAGGCATTTTAATGCAAACCCCAACGAGATAAATGGTGCAATGTATGCTATGCTATTTACAACTCGCTATGTTCGGTTTTTTTTCAGATGTCCGTCTCTTTCGATGCATATTTCTTTTTAATATTACCTTTGATAACGGTTTGCCTAACGATCCAGGATATTGGCCTACCCGCTTGGATTTTTCTGGGTCATCCTCTGCCAGTGCATCAAACTCCAAAACAGCTCTATTCCATATTGCATCAAATTTTTTTTCGTGAATAAAGTCCATTACACCCTTTCCGCTCTGATCACGGGCGTTGACATCGGCATTGTATTCCAACATTTTCCTAATACATAATTTATTGCCTCTAACAACTGCCCAATGCAAGGGCGTCAATTGGGCCTGATCCCTAGCTGTTACGCTGGCTCCGAATCGTAATAGCAAATCTACAGATTGTGGATGACCTTGATATGCTGCCCACATAAGGGGTGTATGTCCACCTACGTTATCTGCTGTATCAATATCAATATCCCCAAGATAGAGAAGGTAAAGGACAAGCATAGCGTGTGACGAATGAACGGCGAGGTGTAATGCATTAAATCCTTGACCGTCCGTCAAAGAGGGGTTGGCTCCTTCTTTTATAAGCTGATGAACAGCATTTAATCGTCCTTGTCTATTTATTTTATACCTTTAGTCTTTTCCTTTGCAATTACTAACAACTAACAATCTAGCAATTCTTCTATTATTTTCTTTTTTATTTTTCTTTTTCTTTGTAGTATCTTACCTACAAGCCCAATGCAAAGGAGTTGCTTGTAATTCTCCCGCTGGGCAATCCACTTCTGCACCTTTATCTATGAGATATTTCACGCAGATATCATTATCAGATAATGTAGCAAAATGTAAAGGTGTAGCCCCTTGAGCGTCTCGATCATGCACAGAAGCTTTTTTATTCTCTATAAGCGATCGTAAAGTTTGAAAAGAGCCTTTTTGAGCAGCTTCGAAAACTGTAACAGCTGCTGGAATGACATAGTATCATAAAAGGAGATAAAATCAGCATGGTCAAATGCATTGATAGCAAATGGTTTCAAAAAGTTTCGAAAGGAATTTACATTCTGCTGCATCACTATTTATGTTTGCAATTGCTTGCTTTGAGGACACAGTTGTTGTTGCAGGTGCTGTGCCGCTCGCTGTTGTTGCAGTCGTTATTATTGCTGGCTGTCGTGAGACGGTGGAGCTCAGTCCTTCAATACCTCTATCATTAGAAGCAGCAACAGCAATAGTTGTCTCTTCTGTATCCCCTAACAGAGGCAGTTTATCATCAGCTTGCTCTTCTTCGTTTCTTAAAGCCATATGTCTACAAAGATGCGAAAATCGAAAACGGAAAAACAAACAAAAATCAAAATAGGTAACAGGAAAAAAAAAATAAAGGTACAACTAGTAAGCATTTTTGTCTACTCAATGCGGAAGGACGAAAGACTGGTACTTCACCGAAATACTCACATTCATACAAATTGTCAAAAACAATTCTATCAGCAATAAAGTTGAGTTATTCCTACTGATCCTTACGCCTGCTATCATAAGAATCTTCCAAAGGTGTGAGGTTTGAACGGCTGTCAACCAAGCATAGTATTCAACTTGATTTGCCAAGCATCATAAGGCGCGGTTATAAATGAAGCGTTGTGGCTGGCTATAGGACATCACTACGTATGCCACTTCTCCGCTTCAAAAATTTAATCGCTGTCGTTCTGTCACTCACCATAAATTGAATCACCAGGAAAAAATTTTTTATCTTTTTCTTTTCAACACAACGACACTTCTTTAACTATTGGTACCCTTACAATGTCATGGTATTTATAGTCACTCAGTGTTCGAATATTTATTTCTTTTTGAAAGCTTCCATCAGACAACGATTCATGATTGATTGCTGAGTAGCAGAGTATGGGTCTCCCTTATTCGCTTTTCAGTTCGTTCAACTTGAGTGAACCGTTCACAGATGGAATCCCATGTGTATAATCAATTTGGCATGGAACCTTTATTTTTATAACAAGGAACTGAAAACGAAAAATGAAACGTCTCGCAATAAGAATTTTCAATAGTTGTTTATTCTACAATGACTCGTTTGTTCAATCGATGTTCTCGTGCCTGATTGATACGTCTCTCCTGTCATTGATCCACAGGCTTGATTGATCACTAGTCCCACCGACCTTATATGGATATAATAATTTGCTATTGCTATAGCTGAAAATCATAATGTGGGTCGGAACGCTGAAGGTGCTGTATATAAAATATATTAAGTTTAAGTATGATGCAACCATTACGAAGGTGTATTTACATAACTAAGTACATAATGTCGAGAAAATTGGTTTTGTGATTTAAAGCGTCTTGTCTATACTCTGAAAGAAAAAATTGTCAGGAGCAGATTGCATAATGTAGTACCACAGTTTCTTTATGCTTCTGGTAAATTTTTAACTTTCATTTGCCATCATCATATTTCGTTGACCAACAATAACTCAAAAATAAGACGAAATAGCTTTTACTTTTCAACCAGAGAAAGAACAGAAAATTTACACTTGTTTTAGAAAATGGCATCTTTCCTGAGTTCTCTAGTCAACTTTTACCCCAAAAAACTAAACCAAAAAATTGAAACGTCAAAAATGGTAGGATTCCGTCACCATTTATTGAAACCGAAAGGATGAATGTATGACACTGACAGGATAAAATGATAGAGAACATGAGATGAAAAACTTTTGCTAATGGATGAATGATGCTTTTAGGTTTCTAGTTGACAAAGAAGGTGTAAAAAGCTTAGTTTTTGTAAGGAGGTGGAGGAGGGTATGTTTGAGTCATAGCAGATGGACGTTGCTGGAAGTGAGGTTGAGGGCTCGCAGCGGAAGGCTGATACGGAGCAGGTTGGTGAGTTGATGAAGGCTGTTGATAATGTTGCTGCATAACCGGTGTTGCAGGCTGTCCCTGGACATAAACAATAGGTTGATATCGAACAGGTTGCTTGTTGTAGGTAAGTAAGACAAAAAAAGCGTGGATATGACCTAGTTTACATAAACATCACTGTTAACTTTTGTTCGCTTTTCTGTAGATGCAATAAGTGAAAGTGGTGGCGTCCTTACCAGGAATGTAACCCAAAAGAGTGAAGAAGCTGTTATTTTAGGCGAGATGCGCATACTTGTTAATAATTTCTTTCGAGCTGATCTTTCTGACTTTAGCGTTTTCAACGAACTCACATATTCCATAAAAGCTCAGGCCCGCAGCCGCATAATACGTAGATGCCAATGGGAGGAAATATAATGGTTAAGAGAACAACACAGCAATCAACAATCATTTTGTAAAATAGCTATACTTGACAGGGAGATAGAAGGAAGAGGAAAGCACGCTTTTGGGAAAAGCTTTCTATTAAAGGAATATGAAAAACGGAGAATTAAATAACAAATAAAAGAAGTTTCAGGTATCGTTAAGTGTGTCTATAAATTCAAAGAGCTGGATAAGCAGCAAGGAGTAGACCTGCAGATTACAATTAACTGGACTGTAGGCTGGCATGCATTTGCAAGCATGGTCTGTGCACAACACAGTTACACAGACAAGAAAAAGGCTGATTGAACATAAATGCAATCCTTGATCCGAATAAGCCCAGCCTCTTCCATTATTGTTTAATGTTGATTTATAACACGCTTCTTTTAAAGTTACCAAAGCATACTTACATTATTGTAGTAATGCAGTATCTATCGTTATATAAATATATTTCTTGGGGGGTGTAAACGAAAATAGACTTTGGCGTTGTACTCTTGTTCATGTCATCTGAAAGCTGTCAAACATATGATGTTTGCTATAAAATTTTTCGCGATTTCCCTAACAGGCATTTGCTAAAATTGTGCGTAGTTAGAAGCCATCTTATCGTTTCAACTTTTGCATTTTCTCGGATCTTAAACTCAAACTTGTCATTTCATTGGTAAAGCTGACTCTTGTTCATTTTGTCTTTCTGTTATATCTTTACTTTTTTTTTTCTATTTATTTTTCCGTTCTTCTTCTCACTATTCAGCCTGTATTACAATCATCCTTTGAAACTTACAGTAATGTCATTGTCTAATCGAATATACCATGATCATGCAATAAGAGACGACAGTGACAGCGATGCAACCTCTTCTTGTTCTTCATCTTCATCCACGCTGACAACCGACACTACTGATAGGGAAGAAACCTCACCGCTACTATCGAACAATTTCAAATCAGTTCATCCTTATACCAACAACAAAACTCACCACCATCACAGAAGTAACAAAGCTGATAATTTTTATAATAGCATTGATGGCAGTACGAGTAGTAGTAGTAGCAGCCATAGTGTACGGCAAGAGTTGAAATGGTTAACTACCCACAGTCTACCGATCATTGGAACCTACCTGCTGCAGAATTCCTTTCAGTTGGCAAGCATTTTTACTTTGGGCCATCTTGTAAGGTTCGAAGAATTCAATTGTTTAACAGATTGAATTATGACTGATGCGTATTTTTCTCCTGATATCTTCTTCAAAAAAACTTCAAGGGTTCTATGGAATTAGGTGCATCTGCATTGGCTTCCATGTTTGTCAACGTTTCAGCTTGGAGTGTTGCTTACGGCACTACAACAGCACTAGATACTTTGTGCAGCCAATGTTGGACAGCCTCAAAAGATAAAACCATTATTGGAGTCTATTTACAACGCGCTTATTTAGTGCTAAGTTTATTGTTTATACCCATTGCTTTTATTTGGTGGAGTGCTACACCTATCATGTTGAAGTTTAATCAAGATCCAGACCTGGCAGAATTAGCAGGTAATCAGAGATTGACAATTCTAAGAAGCACATCGTTTTATTTATATTAAAACTTGAAACAAATGCTACATTAGGTTTATTCTTACGTTACCTGTTACCCGGTGCACCAGCTTACATTGCTTTTGAAGCAACAAAACGGTATCTACAGGCGCAAGGTATCATGCAAGCCTCTACCTATTGTATGTTAATCACTGCACCAGTAAACTTTATTCTCAACTACAGCTTTGTCTATCCATGTCAATTGGGGTTCATTGGTGCTCCCCTTGCAACCAGCCTTAGCTATTGGATTATGTTCGGTCTACTGCTTTTGTACACAAAATATGTCGCCGGCTATGAAGGCTGGGGAGGCTGGAGCCGTCAATGTCTGAAAGATTGGTGGCCATTTGTTAAACTTGCCAGTAGTGGAATTGTCATTATATGTGCTGAATGGAGTGCTTTTGAAATCGCATCGTTAGCAGCGAGTTATCTCGGTACTATCGATCTGGCCGCTCAAAGTATCCTAATCACTATCAGCTCGGCTACTTATACCGTACCCTTGGGCATTTCCGTAGCCGCAACAAACCGTGTAGGCAATGTGTTGGGAAGTGGCGATAGCATCAAAGCACGACGAGCGACTCGATCTGCTCTTTTGTTCGCTGTGGCATTCGGATGTTTGAACTCTACTTTCGTTTTATTGTTCCGTACGCAGTTGGGCAAACTGTTTAGCTCAGATCAGGAGGTCATCGATAGAGTAGCATTAGTATTGCCCTTGTTTGCCGTGTTTCAGATTGCAGATGGGTTGGCTTCCGTTGGCGGAGGTGTTATTCGTGGAATGGGTAGACAAAGCGTAGCGGCTTGGATCAATTTGATTGCTTACTATTTGGTGGCGTTACCCATTGGATTTTTGTTGACTTTCCATGTTGGATGGAATTTGTTAGGTTTATGGACAGGTCTGTCCATTGCATTGTTTCTAGTCGCCACCGGTGAGTTGTGGTATCTGTCACGTGTAAACTGGGTTGGAGAAACAGAAAGAGCGCAACGACACTACGCACTATCATCCAAAAGACCGGATCAGTCTCATTTTCTTCACCATGAGTCACATGAAGAGGGTAGACGAAAAAGAAGGCACACATCGCTTGATTATCAATCCATTGTTGTTGATTTGTAGAGGAAGTAGACGAAACTCGGATTTATTCTTTTCCATATACATATTATTCCCTCTATTTCGAGCCTTTTTTTGTATATATATATTCTTTTAGTGTATTCCCCTGCCCCCTTATCAACATGGCAATGTCTGTTTTTAGAGACAAAAGAAAACCAAAAATAGAATGACAACCCAAATCACATTGTCTTGATGGCTAAGAAACGCATTTTGATTCAAGAACAAAAAGAAAGAAACATGACATTAACTATCTGACTGTTGACATTTATGAACTATGTTCTAATAAAAAAAATTCCAGATCTTGCCAACCACCGCCTACACGGACCAGCACCTTGTTACTCTTCGCTTGTTGTTGCTGTTGTCGATTGTTTCTATCCACTCTTTCTACTGCTCTTCGTCCACGATTTTCATACGTCATCAATTTGCATGTATACATCTTTTTTCGACTAACACCTTTTCCTACTCCTCCTGTCACTGTGTCTAACACTGTTGCAGCATCATTTCCAAAATAGTATTTACCTGGATGCTTGGTAGGACCAACACGCTGGCATTCGATTGTAACAGGACTAGCATTTAGAATTTTTGCTATTTCTTTGTCTAAGGGATCCTTTGAATCAGGTTGATAATGGTAATGGGAAGAATAATCACTATTGCTACCATTACTACTACTACTGCTGCTACTGAATGTATCATCATTGTTATTGGTCATTTTTCTCCTCCGTTCTTGTTGTTGTTGTTGTTGCTGCTGCTGTTGACGTAAGGTAACGTATTTGGGTAAGGGTGGTACAGGTGGTATGCATACGGTATTAGTATCAGCTCTTGCTGGTAATTTTTTGTGGGGTATAATAGATGTAGATGTGGATGAAGACCGACGGCCGTGGAATGTCATTGTCGAACTGGGTGGACGGGGTATCATACTCTCTTTTGGCGTTCGCGGTCGAGGTATAAGAGAAGGCGTCATAGCACGCCGTTGCGTCGGTAAAGCAAGCCCTCGCCAACTACGACCATTGTGATCACTTGTAAAAGAAGGCAGGGATTGTTGATGACTGCTTATTGACAAGTGTCCTATGCTGCTCCTCGAGCGTAAATCAGCTTTCGCTCTGAAAGCAGCAGCTTGTTGTTGGGCTGTTGTTAAATTCATATGGCGCGTATGACTGCTATGGCTCCGCTTATTGGTTGCAATAGTAGCAGTTGATATTGCTACACCATTTGTGGATGCTTTATTACGATGTTTCGTGCAAATGTGATGTTGCTGGTTCTGTATCATTGCTGATATGTCTATACCAAACGCCCTTTCATCCTCCTCATAGAAATCTTCAACAATTCGAGGCGATCTAGACGAGTGGATTAACCTTGTACTCAACTGTCGTGTCGGCTTCGGCGACGCTGCTGTTCTGGAGATCTGTTGCTTGTGTAAACGTCTGGAAGCACTGCTATCAATGGATGAAGTATCGGACATATTACTGCTCAAAATGCTACCTTTTGTGGCTACTGAATCATATGAGGGTTGCAATGGTTGATTTTGATACTGATGAGATTGTTGTTGCTGTTGTGAGCTATTTGCAGGGGATAATCTGTCAAAAATTGAGCTATTGGGTGTGGCGCTTCTCGGTGTTCCGCTTCTCGCCATATGGCTACTACTAGTATTATCTTTAAGGTAAAATAAAGGTTCAGTTGGTGTACGATAGCGTATACTTTTCCAATTCCTAGCATTGCTACCACCCTTGGTTATTATTGAAGTTGGTGTTGCTGGTGGTATCGGTGGGATATACTGGTCTGCAGAACCCACGGAGGAATTGGAGGTAGTAGCGCCTACAGCTGAGAAAAGCACACGTTCCATTTCAGGTATATCTCTATGCCGTAAGTCGTCCATTACATTTCTGATATTCTGCCATCTCTGAAGCATGGATTCGTGTTTTGATATTATGGCCCGATGTTGGCAAGATGATGTTGTGGTTGTCCTAGCATTTATCCCGTCATGCAACATCGATAACATACGATCTATACTGGGAGTATAGTACTTCACTTTAGCTTCAAAACTCTTCACTAGAGATTTGAATTTTTCTATATCGACCCTTTGATATTCAACCGGCATGGTTATTGGTGAGTTATGTGCTTTTCCATATTTGCTATGATTCGATTCGAATGTTGATGATGTAGGCGTGGGCGGTAGAACGGTTTCCTGCCAGTCCCTGACGTGCTGAATGAAAGAATAACATTGAACAGCGGACTTATTCAGGCCGTCCATCATGACGTCCACTTGATCAGTCACTCGTCGAAAGATATTCAACCAACGCTCCTCCTTATAAGTTGCTCTTAAATCTTCTCTTTCGCCTTGGATGTCATCCCACTTTACCTTTAACTTTTCATACTTGCGCTCTAGTAAATTCATTGTTGCCGAACTTGATATCGTTGCCTTTGCATGATTCGTATGCTGTTGTTGCTGTTGCTGCTGCTTCTCCTGCCGTTGATGTAAAGTGAATCGATGGTGTACACTTTCTACAGATTGTGCCATAGATGTAAATAGGGAATCGATCTTTGTTACGACTAACTCCTGTTGATCGTCAATACCATCCACTTCTTTATTAATGCTATTGTCATCATCGGCGGATATCAACTTTTGAGTCACATTTCCAGTTTCTTCGTCAAAAAGGATATGGTTTGGGAGTGGAGGCGTAACAGAGGTAGTAGGAGTTCCATGGTAGGAGGAACTACTGATACTACTTTGATAGAACGATGCGGCAGAAATAGATGATGTGCAGATGGATGATAAAGAACTTGAAACGGCAGCAGTAGGAATGACAGGCGCTAATGCTGTTGAGAACGATCTAGTTCTTTTTTCTTGATAGTCGAACATTAAGTTCGATATGGCTTCCATTTGGATAAAAAGGTCTTCTACGTCTTTGTGCAATGATAATGTCACGCTTTGGTGAAGAATAAGCTGTCTAATACAAGCTATGTACGATTGCAAACTTGATATATCTGATCCAAGTTTCGAGGCGATGAACGCATAGTTACTATTATCGTCTGGCAAGGTGGATAATATGTTGTCATTAACTGATAGTGTTGTATTTACGGAAGGAATGATTTGTTGGTTCAAGCTTTCCTCTAACTGAATGAGCTGAGCATCAGATACGGGAAGCTCAGATAATGAGACTGTAAATTGATCTTTTACATCTTGTTCTATCTGAAATAATGCCAAATGGATCGATTCAAGAGACTTTGTGAGTTGGCTCGTAATTGATCTGTAGCGCTGTTGAATATCCGTCTTTGATAGTGAGCTGTGCATATTAATGAGTTCCTCGATTTCCTTTTCAGGAACATATACGGGAGTAGCCATACTGGTGCTGGATACTGGACCGGTTGTTATTACTGTCATTGTCTGTTTGGAGGAAATAGAGATTATAAGTTACTGTTACTGTATTTGTACCTTTGATGGTTTTTTTTTTTTTTTTTCTCTCTTACTTTTTTGACGAGGCGCTGTTGTTAGAGATCACAGTTTACTCGATCAGTTAGTTCCTTTGAAATGGCAACTGTTAACCTTTTGTGTTTTGGCTATGACACAGTATTGGTTTATGTATCTTACTTTTTTTTCCGTGAAGTTATAAACCTTCTTTCCTAGTAACGAATGGTTTGATATAGTGAAATAGAGAGCAGCAATCCTCAGAAATGCAGTTGTTTCAAACAAAAAGCAGAGCAAGTAATGTAAACGAGAAAATTAAAAAATAAAGTAAGGAAAAGAAGGGGAGATTCTAATATGCTTTTAGAAAAAGTCTTCTCCTTGAAAAAGAGGATGATCGTTGTCTATTATACAACATGTGCAAAGGTATGATCCGGGCAAAAAGAAAATTAAAGCATTTTCCTTGTAGCCCCTTTATTTCTTTGAATTTTTGCTCAGTGAAATTTTTCTTTTTGTGGGACAGACAAAGCGTACATCATTTGATCTCGCACCAGATACAGTGCTTCCAACAGTCAGTTATCCAACATCTTTTTCGCGCTTTCCCGAGAACCAAGTCGTATTTTTAGAAGCCATGTCGTGCATTTGAAAATGAAGTCGTGTTACGGTGATTTCTGGACACACTCGATTAATATTAAAGTAGGCCATTTCATCTCCTGGGTCTTTTTTTTTTTTTTTTTCTGTTTCTTTAATTGTTAAAAGTTTAACATGAGTGCAATATTTTTGTATGAAGGTAGTGAAGTGGAGACAAAGTGCGGCAACAATTGGCCACAATTGCATGTAAAAAAGGAAATTACTTATGCCAAGTTTCAAGTTTGCCTTTGGTAATTTTTTCTCTTTGAATTTTCTGTCAATAGATAAAATGTGGTACATAACATAAGAATGAAAGCAAATATAGTGTTGGCGAATAAGAGCAGCACGATTTACGGATTTCTTTTTAAACCCTCCACTTGATGCAATTCTACCGTTGTTTCTTCCTTGAACCCATTTCCATATGTGGTGTTCCTTATGAATGGCTGGTGCATAGAGTGTTGTACCGGGTAGACATCCCTGATTTCTTCTTGGTGGGCACTCTTGTACGTTAGTGCTGCCTTGATCATTGTTTTCAAGGAGGGAACATCCTTTTCTTCTTGGCGGACGTAGGTACGCGGGTTCTGATACGCAGCGAGTTGCAGGAACAATAGAAAAATTGATAACATTAATTAACCATTGGAGTAAGGTGGAGGTGTGTGAGATGAAATAAGGAAGTTCATATCAACGAACGCTTGACACAATCAGGTCGACAAAATCAGGTTTGTTGATAAGATTTCCACGAAGAACGTTTCGTCGTGGTATTGATTCGAATTTGTGTCCATGGTATACAACCAGTTCCTTGATTGGTTTGAGTTCTCTACGGATACAATAAAAACTATGAATGCTGTTTATACGAGAAATTCGTGGGATCCGTGGATAAACCAGCCTAGTCCAGCACAACAAGCCGTATGGAAAAGTCGGTTGATTTCGCAAACATAATCAAATCTTGAGCAGATACAGAAAAAATGCATAACCATTAACTTCCAGTTTTGTTGCTGTCTACCTTGCATATCGCCATGCTTATGGCAAACGCTGTCTATGAGATGGCGATTCGGCTTTGTATCACGTCGGCATAATTTCGATCCAGAGAAGCACATGGGAGATAAGAAGACTTTCGTACAGTGCCATTTGATACGGAGGCAATCTTGTCATCTTTTGTAGCGACTTGCTCCTGTTTTCCACAGGTTCGTGTGTGTGCGTGATTTTCGTGCATAACCGATGTGGATCCAACCATGTGATTCCACTGATGCGTCTAGAAACGATTTCGTGTTGAAGGTGATTTTCAAGACTTCATCTATAAAAAAAAGGACTGTTTGTTTTTGCAATTTTGGCATTTTGCTTAATTAAAATTGATAACTGTTGTAAGTCGATGACTATGAACATAGGTCTCGTTATTGATCTTCAGATGAAGTAGAAGGATTATTTACTCTGTGAAGTTTAATGGGAATTTATATTATTGTGGGGAAATGTTGCTAGTCATTAATTTCAAGTTCAGATGCTTCTTGTGTTATACTTTAATCCTCTACCTTGTTATATACTTGCACATAACTTTTATTAGATACAATATAGATAGACCGTGGTGGAATGTATTCTCTACCTGGTTGTATGCACTCGAGTATTGTAGTTGTTATCTCACCAAACACGTCATAACACCCCTCTTTAGATGAAATATCGTCCGTTGAAAATGGAGGCGAGGATACAAATTTTGATTGTAGTTATATGATGTTTACATAAGTTATAATAAGAAATTGAACGTACACTCTCAAAACTTAACATTTGATTCAGTTTTGACGCATTGCTGTGAGCTGTTTTTTAACACCGTAATTTAGATACTCACCCCAATAGTCTTGCTTGGCATCCACAAAGATCGTCGCTTTTATCTTTTGCTACCGATGCGTGCAACTTGCGAGTAGCCAAACCGACCATCCTTTGACAACCAAGCAGTCACTTGTGTGGAAGAGTAAATGTCAACTATATCCGGCATAAAGCTCTTGACAAGGTCTAATAATTCGAAGTTGTTCCAACGACCCAATGTGTATAATTCTCTGTTCACTGGTGCATCTTTCGATGCGATGCAGTTAAAGAAATCAAGTACACAGTGTTTTGGCTTTACTAAGTGGTTGAGACAATATCAGTATTCACACAATCAGCTTCACAATGCACTCGAATAAGCAATCACTTACAATTATTGTAGGTAGACTGGTCAGAAGAAACAGATGAAGAATCAGAATCTACGGCAAAACATAATAAAAGAAAATAAGTGCCATTTCTTTCACAAGTTGTTGTCATTGTTTTGTTTTGTCTTTTTGTCTACAGCTTATCGCTTCATCATCACTAATCATCGTATTTACAATACGAGAAGAAGAGAGGAGGGGTATCAACATAACAATGATATATAAAAGGATCCCGCGCAGCAACTTGTTTGCCAATTGTGAAAGGGCGTCGGTTGCCTTCACCGCTTGTATAGATAACTTTCAATGGCGGATAATAAGAGTCAACGATTGCTTTACATTTAACGTGATTGACATTTGTTACTTATTCTCTTAATACCTTACAACAGGCTTGCCCCCTAGTGATTACTGCCATAAAGAATGTAAGATAGTAAAAATGAAAAAATCGATGCCATTTTTCAACCTGTGCGACATTGGTTTCCTCAGAGTGCAATTTGGTTTTCTGGAAGGAGTGCGCCTTCAAATCACCACCTTTTGCCTTCATATCACTACCTTCATACAAAAATATTGCACTCATGTTAAACTTTTAACAATGAAAGAAACAAAAAAAAAAAAACAGACCCAGGAGATGAAATGGCCTACTTTAATATTAATCGAGTGTGTCCAGAAATCACCGTAACACGACTTCATTTTCAAATGCACGACATGGCTTCTAAAATACGACCTGGTTCTCGGGAAAAGCGCGAAAAGATGTTGGATAACTGACTGTTGAAAGCACTGTAAATTCTTTTAAAAATGTGAGAGACTGTATTTACCATTGGCCATCAGAACAACAGTAGCAGCAGCAGCAGCTACAAAATTTAGATGCTGCTGCCATACAATACAAAAAGAAGCATAATTGTAGCACAGTCACTTCATTGTCTATTGTACATTGAACATGAAAAATAGTGGAAATAGATGACTTATGCCTTGTTTATCTTTAAAAGTGATTGAAAGGCGAAAGAAACCCTACTTTGCATGAACAGTGTAACAAGAAATACGTCAAAGAAGACAATTAAAGTTTAGCAAACAATTGTAACTGAGCTCAAACCTGCCAAAAAAATAGCAGATCGATAGACAGAAGCCACTCTGGGAGCGATAACGAAAGAGTGAAACAAATGTTTCTTAAAATGAACCCATTGCCCAGCCCCTCTTTTCTCATTTCAGCATTTTTTCAAGAAAATACTTGGACTTCTTCTTCTTCATTCATTCATATCTGTCTCATTTATATATATAGTAAGAGACATATTTTAGCGATACAAAGTTTCTGAAGGTATATATATGTATACAATAGCTCAGCAGTTTTGACAGAAAGCAATAACGATAGACATTCCTGACATTTGCAATCGCGATCTCCACTTTTCTTAACAGAGAAGCCTTCAAGCATATATCATGTCACACACAACACAATCAACTCAGCATCTACAAGCTTCCGGTCCTGTAAGAGAGCATTCAGTAGAAACCATTCGAAGAAGTAGTGAAGTGATGGGCAACCTTCGCAAATTGATGGTGGCGAACAGAGGCGTACGTATTAATTCCCGAAAAGCAAACTTTGTGGGCAGAAAGATATAACATACGGTCTATTAAAAACTTATCAACCATCTGAATTGAACTTGCTCTCATAGGAAATCGCTATTCGTGTCTTTCGTACAGCCCATGAATTATCAATGAGAACTGTTGCTCTTTTCTCTCATGAAGACCGTTTATCCATGCACCGATATAAAGTGAGTCACCTTCGTCGCCGATAACCAGAAAAAAAAAAAAAAAAAAATTGACAATCTTCAATTCATCCTGATATAAATTTCTAATCACTCTCCGTTGACCAACAGGCTGATGAGTCTTATCAAATTGGCCAACTCGGTCAATTTACACCTGTAGGCGCCTACTTGGCACAAGATGAAATTGTAAAAATTGCTAAAGAGCGTGGTGTCTCCATGATCCATCCTGGTTATGGTTTCCTTTCAGAAAATGCCGAATTTGCTCGCAAGGTAGAAGCAGCTGGTATGACCTTCATTGGTCCTTCACCTGAAGTGATTGATAGCTTGGGTGACAAAACCAAGGCTAGAACGATCGGTAAGCAATGAAATCACGGTTTTTGCGTTGCAAATGTAACGAACGAATTTTTTAATTCTTTATTCGTTCCTATTGATTCACCGCAGCCATCAATTGTGGTGTACCAGTTGTTCCCGGTACTCCTGGACCGGTCAGCACGTACGATGAAGCCAAAACATTCATTGAAGAATATGGCTTTCCTATCATCATCAAAGCTGCAATGGGCGGTGGCGGTCGCGGTATGCGTGTTGTTCGTGACGCTGCTACATTTGAGGAATCTTTTCATCGTGCAAAATCTGAAGCCCTCTCTGCGTTTGGAGATGGCACTGTTTTCATTGAACGCTTTTTAGATAAACCTCGTCATATCGAAGTACAACTCTTAGCCGATCGTGCTGGTAACGTTGTACATCTCTTTGAACGTGATTGCTCTGTTCAACGTCGTCACCAAAAAGTGGTTGAAATTGCACCTGCCAAAAACTTGGACAACAAAACTCGTGAGGCTATTTTGAACGATGCTATCAAGATCGCGAAGGCTGTCAAATATAAGAATGCCGGAACCGCTGAATTCTTGGTCGATAATCAGAACCGTCATTATTTTATTGAAATCAATCCTCGTATTCAAGTTGAACACACGATTACGGAAGAAATCACCGGTATTGATATCGTAGCAGCTCAGATTCAAATTGCAGCGGGTGCTCTATTGCCTCAGTTGGGTCTTACACAACAACGCATTCGTCAACGTGGATATGCTATTCAGTGTCGTGTTACAACCGAAGATCCTGAAAAAGGCTTTCAACCCGATACAGGTAAAATTGAAGTCTACCGTTCTTCCGGCGGTAATGGCGTACGTTTGGATGGCGGTGCGGGTTTTGCTGGTGCTGTGATTACCCCACATTACGATTCACTTCTGGTGAAGGTCACATGTACAGGCTCGACTTTTGAAGTAGCACGTCGTAAAATTGTCCGTGCACTGGTGGAATTCCGTATTCGTGGTGTAAAAACAAATATACCCTTCTTGCAACGTTTGGTGACATATCCTACATTCATCACAGATACATGTTGGACAACCTTTATTGACGATACACCTGATTTGTTCAGCTTAGTTCAATATCAAAACAGAGCACAACGTATATTGGGTTATTTAGGAGATGTGATTGTCAATGGTTCGCAAGTCAAAGGACAAGTGGGTGAACCTACTTATAAGCACGAAATCAGTATCCCTCAATTGTTGGATGCTCATGGACAGCCGATCAAGGTAAACCAAACGCCTCCTCCTGCAGGCTGGCGTAAGGTGATTTTGGAGCAAGGCCCTGAAGGTTTTGCAAAGGCTGTTCGTGCTCATCCTGGTGTGCTTATTATGGATACGACATGGCGTGACGCTCATCAAAGTTTATTAGCTACTCGTGTGCGTACCATTGATTTGCTACGTATTGCTCCCACTACTGCTCACGGCTTGTCGAATGCTTTCTCCTTGGAATGCTGGGGTGGTGCTACCTTTGATGTCTCCATGCGTTTCTTACATGAAGATCCTTGGGACCGTTTGATCAAATTACGTGAAGCTGTACCCAATATTCCTTTCCAAATGTTACTTCGTGGTGCAAATGCCGTGGGTTATACTTCTTACCCTGACAATGTCGTTTATGAGTTCTGTGATAAGGCTGTGAAGGCTGGTATGGATATCTTCCGTGTATTCGACTCTCTTAACTATGTGGAAAATATGAAGTTGGGTATCGACGCTGTGAAAAAAGCAGGAGGTGTCGTAGAGGCTACCATCTGTTACTCTGGTGATGTTTCCAACCCTGAAAAGAAGAAATATACTTTGGACTACTATTTGGATTTGACACAACAATTGGTAAACGAAGGCATTCATATTTTGGGTATCAAAGATATGGCAGGTCTTTTGAAGCCTGCTGCTGCCACTAAATTGATCGGTGCTATTCGCGAAAAGTTCCCTGAATTACCCATTCATGTTCATACGCACGATACAGCCGGTACAGGTGTTGCTTCTATGATGGCAGCCGCCCTTGCTGGTGCTGATGTCGTTGATGCCGCCATCGATTCCATGTCTGGTATGACTTCTCAACCTGCTATGGGTGCACTTGTTGCTGCTCTCGAACAAACGCAATTAGGCACTGGCATTAGCCTGGAAAATATTCATGCTTTGAATTCTTACTGGGAGCAAGCACGCATGTTGTACTCTTGTTTCGAAGCTAATGTCAAGTCGGCTGATTCCGGCGTCTACGAACATGAAATGCCGGGCGGACAATATACTAACTTGATGTTCCAAGCGCAACAACTGGGTCTTGGCACCCAATGGATTCAGATCAAGAAGGCTTACGCAGAGGCTAATAAATTGTGTGGCGATCTAGTGAAGGTGACTCCCTCATCTAAGGTTGTGGGCGATCTTGCTCAGTTCATGGTTTCCAACAACTTGAATGGCCGCGATGTCGAGGAACGTGCTGCATCTCTTTCATTCCCCACATCCGTCGTTGAGTTCTTTCAAGGATACTTGGGTCAACCTTATGGTGGTTTCCCAGAACCGTTAAGGTCTAATATCATTCGTGATTTGCCCCGTATCGATGGACGTCCTGGTGCCACTTTGAAGCCTTTAGATTTGGGTCAATTAAAGCGTGAATTAACTGCCAAATACGGAACCGGTATCCGTGATTATGATGTTATTTCTGCCGCTCTTTATCCTAAGGTGTTTGCTGATTACCGTGAAACAGTTGCTCAATACGGTAATTTGTCAGTCGTACCTACACGTTATTTCTTATCAAAACCTGAAATTGGTGAAGAATTCCACGTTGAAATTGAAGAAGGCAAGACTCTGATTATCAAACTATTAGCAGTGGGGCCTTTGAATGCCACAGGTAAACGCGATGTTTACTTTGAACTCAACGGTGAGGCCCGTGTCGTTGGTATTGTTGATCGAAATGCCAGTAAGTATACAGCAACCAAGGGGAAAACATCGCAATACTATGAACGAAATTAACAATGATATACGTTGATATTATAGCTGTAGAAACTGTTACCCGTGAAAAGGCCAATCCCGGTAAACCTGGGGATGTTGCAGCACCTATGTCTGGTGTTGTGATCGAAATCAAAGTGAAAGCGGGCCAAACTGTAAAGGGCGGTGATCAAATTGCGGTTTTGAGTGCTATGAAAATGGAAACAGTGGTAACTGCGCCAATTGCTGGCAGAATTGATCGTATTGTAGCACAATCAGGCGATTCTCTGAATTCAGGCGACCTAGTTGTGCAAATAGTAAAGGAAGAGTAGTTAAATGCTTCTTTTTTCTTTTTCATCTTTGTGGTTTCAAGAAACTTTGGCACTTTGCATATGTTAAATATATTCGGTCTCCTTTGCATTCATTCTGTTGAATTTATGTATCTGCGGGCCCCTTTTGTTGTCTATTTATCCCAGCCTTAAGAGTAAATAAATTTATTTTACCCATTTCCTCTAATGTAAAAGTGATACTCGTGGAACACCTTTCCAATATCATCAATCCTTTACCAGACATTTTTTTTCAGTTTATAGATAAATTACCTCTGATATTCTCTCCTATCAACTCCGATTCTTGTGATACCCGATCGACCTTATGAGCTACTTCTAATCACGTGACGGAGTTTTGATTTCTACCACAATAATTATTTATCTCCATCCTAAAAATAAGTGGGGGGTTAGCTTAATTGGTAGAGCGTCAGATTCCAAATCTGAAGGTCAAGAGTTCAATTCTCTTACTCCTCATTTTTTATTTTTTGCTATTTCTTAGAATATTTTTTGGTTAGGGTTTTATTTCTGTTTATTACATTTATTTTTTTAATGGGATGGAAGATGTAAGTGTTGCGCCAAATACAAATTACAAAGCTTTTGCAACAATGTAATTTGTATGAAAAAACCAATAACATATAAAGAAGAGGATCAACCTTTTCCTCTTTTTAGGAAATATATGTAAATAATAAACAGAAAGAAGACTCTTTGATTATATGAGCTATCGCCATAGGCACGACAAATATCTGCTGAAAGAAGCCATTCCATGTAAATATTGCTGTGTGTTCTGTTTCAGTTGCGCTTTTGGGTTGTATAAATTAATTCATCATAAACAATTGAATAGCTTAAAATACATCGTAAGATATTATAACACCTATCCTCTTCTATGCTTCTCGTTAAAAAACTAAAAGGTATGTCTGTAATTACAATATATTGTTAAATATTACCGTCAGGCTATAATTTAAATTCTATAGTAGAAATGATGTGTTTTTCAAGTATTATAAAAAGTTTCAACAAAAAATACGAGACTTAATCTATCTCATAATCTCAATACGAGTAAATGTTAATATGTAACAATTTGACAAGATTAAAAATAAAAGCGTTCTTCGCTATTCTTCTTCTTACTTTCTAATTATGATTTCTTCAATCTCGTATGTTTGTTTTTTTCACATTCTTGACAAAATAAAACAGTACACAGACTCAGCAACTTTATCATATATAAATCATATGTAACAACTTATACTGAGGAATTGTGAATTAAGGGAATCATTAGAGAAGATTCTAAGTATGCATAGTTGCTATATGCTCATGCTTTTGATGAACCGAATCCGCTAAACCCCATCAAATTAGCCATATCATCGTCGGCAGCGACGTCAAGTTGCTCTTCCTGTTGCTTCTCAATATTTTTCTTCTCTTTTTTCTGCTTTTTCTTTTCTTTTCTCTTCTTCCTTTCTTCCTCTTCTTGTTGCTTAAGAGCTGCTATTCGTTCATCTAAATCTATAAAATTTGGAATCTTCATCAGTAACTAGAACAAACAGGGTGGTTTATAGCACGAAAAGCCTGGTATTTTCACTCACTATATTCTTCGTTTACTGCCTTTGTTTCCCGTTTGCGTTTCAACATAGCTAGTCGTTCCTTGACACTGCTTGCGTCTGCTTTCTCAACCTTCGTCGACATACCCATATTGGCCAAATCTATATAGAAGTTTGAGGAAAAAATAAAGATCCGCACATTACACCTAAAACAACGTATGCATTTCTCTATTAGAGACTTACGCTTTCTTCCATTTAAATGGTCCAAATAAGTAACACTGTCCTTTATCGTCACATCGCAAGCTTCACAATAGAAGCCTGGCTGTTTTCTCGAGTCAACAGATTGCACGACTTGAATTTTACCAACATTTTTTTCGAGATCAACGCCAGACTCTCTTGCCTGTAAAGCTTTTTTCTCGACTTTCTCATCTTCATCTTTCTTTTTGGGACGAATAGGTGGTAAACCTCGTTTTCTTCGTTCATCGTTGATTTCAGCTAAACGATCTCGCTCTTCCCGAGCTTTTGCCTTGGCTGCATATTCTGCTTTATCCCATGTACGTCTAAAATCAGTATCTTTCTTCAAGAGCATACAGTGATGACATTAAGCTTCAGTATGTATAAAAAAAGAAGGGTTGGTTGAGAGAGAAACTTACTGCTTTGCCAGCTCCGTATGCACTCATGCTGAAGTGTTAAAGTAAGTCTGATCGATTTGATCGTTGAAGACAGAGATGAAATTATGAACTCGGGCACACGTGAATTTTAATGCAATGCTCCCGTCCAATCGATACTCTGTTGATTTTCTTCTGCTGTCTTAGATCGAATTTGAAGTGACGATAGTGTCGATTTCTCAACGCAAATTAAGGGCTATGCCACAATAAAAAGAGTTACTAGCTTTCGCTGAAAACCAACTTTACGATGTATTGCTCTGCATTATTATACATGAAATTACTATTTTAGAAAATGAAGACTAAAGCTGCACAGTACGACGATGAGAATGAAACAGAAATATTGACATTTTCCTCATTTTTTTCATATTGCAGCGTTATTATGCTTCACTTCCTTCACGATGGAGCGCTGTCTTACACTGAAACATTGACTTTAAGTTCTCGTATTGTTTGATACTTTGCTTGCAATTTAAGCGATGAAGGCCATAATAGGTCACCGTTATACATACCGACTGTCTTGTATAAATATATGAAGCTAATTAAAGGTGCACTGTGATGTTTGGAAAAGTTTGATTGACTATCGGTTGCAACGATATTATCTTCACATCCGAGCTACACAACAGGATACTTTCTTCTAAGTATACAGCTCATTCTCGTTTGTCTATGTTTTGAAAATTGTATTTTTACTGTGACAACTGCTTGCTTGACGTCCATGACGATGATTCTCACGAAAAAAGTTGCTTCCATCGCTTTTACAAGTTTGAGTTAGCTAAATTATGCTCGACTGTTCAAGTATAGAATCGAGTAAAAGTTCGAGTAAAAGTAGATCATTTATGCAGCCAAACATGCATTATTAAATGAAGCATTGTGGCAGGAAGGTAATAGTTTACTTTAAAAATTGAATGAAGTTTTGCGCTATACTAAAAAAAACAACGGACATTACTACAGAGTGATTAAGAAACATATCATTTTAATAGGCATGGTAAGTGCTATACAAGACAGCCATTATAAAATACCTTGGCTTTGAGAAATAAGGATAATGCTTAAAGTAAAAGTTAAAGAAGAAAAGAAGATATAAGAAATAATAGAAAAGCATCTTTCTGTATGGTTTTCTTTTCATAATAATACAATTCTACAGGCTAAGCCTAACATAAATAGATGAAAAGTATAGTTAGAATGGATGAAACGTTACGGAAAGAGAGTAAATAAGAGTAACTTATGTATACCGTACTATGTGAGAGGTTATCAGATGTTGAATCTCTCTCGATACATGTTAAAGAGTAGTGGTAATGAATGACATATTGTTGCTGATAGATAATTTTCTTGTGGCAATCTTAGGGTAGTTGGCATACGTAAACAATGTATTAACTGGCATATTGTTTTTGTTGATAGTGCGAAAAAGTGGCAGAAGCTCCAATCAATGTGACCGGTGGCAATAGCAAAAGTGAATAATCAAGCATAAGAGGGCCCTAGGGAAACAGTCATTTTCAGCATTGCTAGCTTCGTTAATAGTAGCAGTAGCAATACGCATCGCTTTCAATTATCGGTCTTGATAATTGTGCCGATTGAAGCACAAATGCTTCTGTTCTTTGTATGAAGAAGTCATCGTCTTTTACAAAGCATATTTCTCCATTATCGCTATTGTTGCTGCTACACATTAAAGAAACATCGATTCCACCAGTAGTCAAATGATCCTTTTTAATTGGAAACGGTGTGTTAATTGTTGTTCCACAGTCAGTAGAAAGAAAATTAGCTGATGTATAGACATTTGACATTGTCATTTGTTGTTGTGCAAATGGCATTGTGGTATGTCTTGCAGTATCGTATGAATCAAGCTGCTGCTGCTGTCGTAAGGGCCAGCTTCTCTCTCGGTCCTCCATTATAGGAAGAGGGTGGCCGTAATGTAATTGTTGTTCAGTCATGAACTGCTCATTAAACTCATTGAGGTATGAAATATCAACTGAACGGATTGATGTAGTACTACCACGCTTCAGTAATTTGTGTTGATAAAGGCTATGCCAATATGATGTGTTAGGTGAGGAACATGAGCTGCAAAATGATGAACAAGAAGATGACATAGACGAGGATTGCGAGCGAGAGTGAACCATACCAGCTGAACATAGTATGGGACGAGGTGAGCAATAGCTATTATCTGAGCACTCGTATCCATCCTTTGATCGCGAACATATCATAGCATCGCAAAACTGAGAAGTTCTATTGGCACGGACATCATCGACAGTATAATGTGAAAAACATTGTTGGTGCTGAGGACTACTACTATGATACTTTACATTTGTCACCGTTTTTGTACCCTTTTTTGACCGATACTGCTTTTTTTCTTTAGCTCTTCTATTCTGAAACCATATTTGAATACTTCTAGGCGACATAGACAAGCGTTCTGATAATAGAAACCGAATTTTGGCGGTGGGTTTTGAGTATATTTGAAAAACTTGCTCAAGGGCGTTGGTCTGTTCTTGGGTTGTACGCTTGCGGCGCTTAATCTTGAAAGGATCATAAAAATTCAAATGAAAGTTATCTGTCTGCTTCGGTGTTGATTTCCATATCATTGTAGTGGTTGTTGGTATTTGATCTAGTCTAGATGTGGTGTTGCCTTGACAATGGCAGTTATCATGGCAGATAACATCAGCATTGTGCTTAATGCTATTGCATTGATGTTTATGGCTGTCATGCATAATATACGAGGACTCGTTTTCGTTGCAAAATATCGAGAGATATAGAAGCAACAATCCCTATCAGATTCTTACCAGCTTTGATTTTTTGTGAGTTTCAGTATAGTCCTTTTGAGAATAAGTGTAAAATGGCTCAGCTGTTTTGAAGAGCAGGGCAATTAACGAGCAAGTATAAATAATAAGACAATAGAAAAGGGAAGAAGAGAATAATGGAAGAGTTTGCAAATTTTGCTGATAGGATAGTTAAGATGGAGGAGATAAGCTGCTTTCATAAAAGTAATTTAGTACTAAGTGTCGGAATTGCAGCAGTGTCCTTATCTTATTTTTTTTTTGTTTTTGAGAAGAATGTTAAGGAAACTCAAAATAAGGGGTATGGAGTATATTCCGGGGTAACAGCGCATTAAGAGCTATTTGTTCACAAGCATTATATGCATTCCAATACAGTAATGGTGTAAGAATAGGAAGATAATGCGAATTAGTTAATCGAAATCAGGTTCATTGATTCTTATTTAGGAGGAAGGGAGCTGACTATATTTTGATTATTGTATTCAGTAAGGTTCTTTTCGTATAATTTAAAGCGAGGTTAAAAGCTGCTAAGATAATGTAAATGCCTGCCTTGCGACAAGAATGCCAACGAATAACTTACAAAAAGCGCGGTAAATTCAAAAGGTATTGTTTAAATTGAAAATACTGTATGAAATGTATAGAATTGGAAGGTATCGGAAGGCGATTCTGGACGTTCATTAAGAAGCAGGATATTACCGTGTACATGGATATGCGAAGAACTCTTACCTTTGTGTTGGGCTTTGCTTATAAGAATTTACAACTTCTATTCACCTTCCGTTTTCATTGGATTATTAACGTGGTCCGTATTAAATTTTAATGCCTCTTTACTGAAGCCTAATGCTTATAAGCTTCCCAATAATTTTGTATAGGAGGGAAAGCATACAGAGCATCCGCTGCCTTCTGCATGACCTTCTTGTACTCAAGCGTTCGACATATTCTTACTGTCAACATCTTTCTGCATAACAATCATAATGCAATAGCAAGTTGAATATTTCCATTTTAAAGCTATAATAGGAGATGCGTCGTTTGGGGGTATCATCGGAAAAGTAAAGCAAACAAGCCCGAGCTATCAACAAAGCTTTAAAATCTCTTAGGTTCTTACCAATTTGTTTAATGGTGTCTCGATTTGATTCTATCACTTGACATCAATATCGCTTACATTTTAACGATAACATAAGCATGCATTTATGCCTATGAACGTTGAACCAACCAATGAGTATTTATGGGTCAGACACTTAAGTAGAGAAGTGTTAATTTTTTCAGTTTCAATAATATATTGCTTTTGAAAGTGCAAGTATGAAGCACTTCAGTATAGCAAATTGAGTCTTCAGAACAACCAACAATATTTCTGTTACTTACGTGGATACTGAATACAGCATTACCGTATTCTCTATATAAGTGCACAGTTCAGACAAGCACTTGCATCGAGATGATACTTTGAGATCTACGTAGAAAATTTTGCGGGAAATAAGCAAGTATTTACACTTCGGCGTTACTGTTCTGATTCTTTTTACTATGGCCACAGTTGAAGTGTCCTCAGAGTCTCAGATCACTTCTTGAATGAGACTCACTTGCTCAGCAGGGAGAAAAAAAGAAGGTAAGGGTTGGTCTAACTGGTACAAACATTCTTTGACCAATTATGACCTCTGACAACGCAAAAAATAAAATAAAGACCACAGCGGCAAAAGGTACTAAAGCTCACAGCAATGAGTGCACACTGCTATTTGATTTCACAAAGTAGTACATGAAAATTGTTTCAAACTTTCCATTACACAACTTAAGGATCATTGAATGAAGCGGGACGACTGGATCCAATCTATACATGTGTCGCGCTCTATTACTGAGAATAATACTAAAGAGCAAAAGCGCAACAGTATGATATTGCAAAGTGCCACATATACATGCACGTTTTACAATACAAAAAGCAGAGCATATCTTATACTACCGTGATTATCACGCATTTATCATCAACCCGTCTTTTATAATTTCTTATTTGCTATTGAATAGAGAAGTCTCCATCTTCTCTGCCAGGCGTTATAGTTGTATTTGTCTGTTTAGAGTGTAAATAAATGACTAATGTTTTACGTGGAAATAAAGGGTAAATTCCACAAGATAACAAAAATGTATGATCATCAACAACTGTATTTATTTCAAAAAAATTACTTTTATAAAAGTCAGCCACTACATGAACACTATAGATGAAACTTTTGGAAGATGTGTATGGCATCCTCCAAGAAGAGCAATAAATCAAAATATGACTTGTCAGTACTGTTAGGAAAAGTTTTTGATGGCTCAAATTCGAGAAAATAGAATAATAGGGCGCGTGTAAAGACACGCTACAGTGATAGAATCTTTTTGTATCGTACTTCAGGTGAGGGAAGGTTGGTTGCGTGTTTTATACAGTGACTCGTCAGTTTAAATGTTTACAATATTGCATCAGGACGCTATGTCAGAGATACTCCGAAAATCAAATCACGCCACAACAGTGAAATGCATCCCTAAATTATGCTTTCTTGCTTCAAACGAATACATACTGTAACCTTAAAACACGAATAGAAAATAAAAATGTTATATTCTCGACGAAAACTAAAGGCAGATGATCGTTTCCTTAATTGATTGACATGCTCACTTAAATAAACGATCATATAATTTCTACTTTACCTCGTATGATAATCTGTATAATACAACATCTCAAGTTTCAATTTTTTGCTCGCACTCGCTGAGACGCAGATTACAGGCTAGTCGACCGCCAGATATACCGTTATCAAAATGGTTACTCTCTCGTACAGTAAATTCTATTGCTTGCCGAACATCAATTTGGAGCTGTTATTCTCCTTATCGAAAAAAAAATCTATAACTAAATATTCATGTTTGTGCGCCTTGACATATCTGTTAAAGCGGTAACAAGTTAGCGCAGATTCCGTTGATACTTTGCTAAAGTTTATTTGAAAGTTTGAAGAAAAGCTGCGTTTATACTTTTCTTTTTGTAATTATTCCTCGAATCAGCCCTTTATCGGTAGAGAAGTAACGTATTGACGTCCGTTTACAGCTTGCATTCCTTATTGCTCCTCCATTCTTATGATTCCTTGACTTTCTATGTATTTGGATACCGCACTGATTGGCGTACAGTGACTCGGTCTTCCCATTTACCTTTCCTTTTTTGTAAAGTCAATAAATTGGTGATAAGGCTTACATTCAAGCCATTCCCCTGACGATCGTTTTTTTTTTTTTTTTTTTTTTTTTTTTGTACTAGCTGAGTTTTTTTTTTGTAATTTTAGAACGTGCTAACCTTCTTAAAATAACACACTTGATTTTTGTGTGCCTGCGAAGATTTTAGATGAATAAGCGTACTCATCAAAAATATATTACAGCACGCGTGTGAAGTGAAAGCTAACAATATATTGTCTGAGGAAGCTATTTATTCATGATGTTGACGAGGAACATTTCGTTGCAAAGAAGCTCTTATGTTCGAGAACGAAAAGTTTAAAAACAGCAGTTCAGTAACTGCTTGATGGTAATTGGACATATGCGTTGCTTTTGAGCACAATAAAAGTCAGCAGACAAAAATTAGTTCCTGACTTTTTTCCCTTGGTAAATCTGATTCGCTGATTAACGAAGTCAGTAGGTGAGATCGAAGGATTGGGTAATGTCGTTTTAGGGCAGGGGAGGGGATTCCTAATGTTAATAGCTGTGATTCGCTGAGTCTTTAACATAAGCGCATAATTCGACGGAAAGAAAGAAATCAGATAAAGCTAAAACGCTAAGATTTTCGTTGGGATGAAGGTTAAAACGTGGCAGAAAGACTCTCAGTATTTTAAGGGGCTTCTGATCGTGCACTTCTACCATGCATTAGCGCGATAAGTAGATTCTTTTAGAAAGGCCATATATATAGGCTGAACACAAAAGTAGAAAAAGGTTAGAGAAAACATCAACGTTATCGCTGACGGGAGCTAGAATTTGCTACCACCTACTCTTTGTGAAAGGTCAAAAAGGAATTTCGTATTTTCTCCTAATGATAATTCTAACTATTTTTTTTTTTTTTTTTTTTGGAACTCGAAAAAAAGCTTGTTTTCATGTTTTCTTTGCTTTTCCTGGTAAAATAATTTATCTACGATCCCCTAACTCTTTTACAGTAGTCTCTATTTACAGTAATCCGTCCTTTCCTTAAAAATCATTCACTCATTTTCTCTGATCCCAAACTACCATGACATCTTCTCTAGAACAACAACGCCCTGTTTGGCCACAGCATCATCAACAGCATCAGCCAGCGCAACAGCAATTGACCCACAGTCAAAGTGATGTTTCTCTGCCTGTCAACTCATTATCTTCATTATCACCTCATCAGGATCAATTAATGCCTGCAACTCCCATGAATACAGACACTTCGACATCCAACACTGGGAGTGACCCCTCGAAAGGTACTCAACACACATCACAATCGGAACAGCAACAGCAGGCGCCTGTTCGTAAAAGAACAAGAGCTACTGCTGATCAGCTTTCTGTTCTTGAAGATACTTTCGCTGTTAATGTGAGCCCAAATTCAAAGCTCCGTAAACAACTTGCGGAACAACTCAACATGAGTGAGAGATCCATTCAAATCTGGTTTCAAAATAGACGAGCCAAAGTCAAGCACATGCAAAAGCGAGCTCAAATGCAAATGCATCAAGCAACGCTGCGTGCTCAATTATATCATCATCAGCAGCAGCAGCAATATAGCAACTACTATACCAATGAGTATTATCATTCATATCCACCACCCCATCATTTTCCACCCTTTCATCAACAACATCATTATCTGTATCCTTATCAGTACCAGCATGGGCGTAATGTGACAGTACCTCATCAACAGCCAATAGCGTCTAATACTATACCTGTATCCAGAGCTCAAAGTGTAGATGTTATAGCTCATAAGCATCCGCACCAACAACGTCCCTACCACCCACCCATATATCCCCATCCTACGTCAGGGCCTCATTCTATAAATGCTACTTCAACATCACACCTTCCTTCTCAACAGCTTATTGCACCTGCTATGTTTGTACATCAGCGGTCACAACAGCTTGCATGGCAAAGTAATCCTGTCTCGAACATATCTTTGACTAGGCAAAGCATGCCTCCACAAATATACGATATTGCCATGAATTTAGATTTTCCTGATTATATTGGCACACCTACTCCACCACCAAGGACGCATTCTGTCACTTCTGCTCCTATCATTACTAATGATCCCAATATACCCACTCTAATTTCTGTTCCAGATGCTGGACCTACTGCTATGCTCACTTCGACATTGAAACAATCTTCCATGCCGCCACTTTCTGTTGAGGAAGATACTAACTCTGAAAAATTTACATCATCAGTATTAAAGAGCTCTTCCTCACCAGGTAATATATTGCCTCAAATTGCAAATTCTTTCCGCGTCTTCTTTGTTCTAATGACTCAAAAACTTTCTTACATACAGAAATTATCAGAATGGAACAACTTCCAACAATAGATCCTTCAACTTTGTTAATGAAAGCAGCTATTAGTGGAGAAGAAACAACACAGCAGCTCACAGAGTCTACCACCGCAGAGGTCAAAACCAACGACACAGTGGAAGACATTCATCACAATGAAAGACATACACATCACTCCAATGAAGAACCTGCTTCTGAGCCTGCTTCTTGTCACACCATTGAAAACGAAAAGCCTGATTCAAATATTTCTGGAGAAATACATTTAGCAAAAAATCAGCAGGAACAGACACTCAACACGATCGTAACATCTAATGGACCAGAAGAAGAGCCGAAAGACTTGTATCTCAGTGCAACGACACTCACAGTTGGAACCTGGCACCGACTAAAAAGCGTATTACAAAATTTAGATTCTGCATCCACTACATCCATTATTCCTACTGCTGACCTTGTTTGTGTCTATTGTCCGGATAAAAAATTGTTTGCTTGGCATGTAATCGATAGTGGTTGTCACTTCAAAATGGAAATCTCCCAAGAAGCTATTTCGAGCATTGAGTTTATTGCTCTTAGCCATCAGCAACAACAGTCTCCATCTATTGCCCAAATTCATTTCGATATAAGCGAACCTCCTTTATTTTACATGGAGTCAAGTATTCAACAACAGCAACAACAACAGCAACCGAAAAGGCTAGATTTGAGCCAACAAAGAAAGGCTAAAAAGAAAAAGATGAACACAACTGGTGCCGATGAACAATCAGAAGCAGCTTCTTCTGATGAACCAACAGCAACATCAACAACTATCACCACACCTGTTTGGGTACAATGTTCCGACTTCACTGAAGGTAAACAAGCTTCTCGTTATTTCAGGCACACTATTCAGGGTGATGCTTATTGTTTAAAACGGGAGATCATGGCGCTAATAAATAATCATGAAGAGACAAGACGATTTGTTCACTTCACTGACCCAATTGCGTCCAGCTCTTCAATACCATCTATTCACGCTGTTCCTCTGAATTACATGTATTCACAACAGCAGCAACAGCAGCAGCCGTTAATAGTTGATGCTCATCAACGAAGTGAGTTTTATCTCTCAAATACGCCTTTTTACAATGATAGCATGCTATTACCTAGTAATAATAGTACCATCTCTGATTTTCCAAGTGGTATTGTTGATCTGACAACGAACACAAGCAATCCTAGTCTTTCCAACAATAATAGCGATGCTACGTTGACATATTGGACTGACGCTAACATAAACAGTACCTGTGATCTCTTCATGGACTAAACAGTCTGCTATATTCTTGATTTCATTTGTTACTCATTATGTTATTTCTTTGCCGTCGCTTCTGAAGCTTTTTAAGCATAGAGGAACATTAATAACATAATGTTGTTTTGGGAAATTTCTGACCTCATTTTTGCAAGTTTCACATATTCAAAGTCTAATAGAACATTTCGTAACTTTAGAATAAATAAACGCTTTTTTCTTTTTTTGTAATCCTGTTATAAGCACTATATTCTGGACAGAAATTCATCATGAAAATGACTCAAAGCGCAGCCTTTGAAAATATACTGAATTGTGAAATGGCTCGATAACAGCATTTGGTCTTACATCTTAGCAAAACATAAATTATAAAGGCTGTGGTCTTTGCAAAAATCGTGATGCAATCGTTGTCATTCTACACCGACAGAGAAGTATTTATCATATTCTTGGCTGAAAAGTACTTTTCGTATCCTAAAGCTTGTTTGTTTCTTCTTTTTTTTTCAGAAGTCAATTTTACCGTTTATTTCTTATTATCCTCTTCTATTAAGAGGTCTTTCGCAACTTCGTCCTGGCCTTTTGGAAGGTAGCATATAATAATGCTGTAAAGTATTCGGTAAGAAAAACAAATATAAGAGGGAAAAAGAGACCAATTTAACAGTAGTGGAAGTGCTTAATGCGACAAATTAGACAAGAGCCCTGACAAAGAATTAAATAATTGGATGTTCGGTGTCGACGCTACTGCGGTCAAACCTCATTTTAGATGTTGTATGATGACTTCAGATCAGCAAATTATCCAGAACAAGTTGCTTGAGTTCCGAAACGATGTATGATTGCTTCCTTATAACGACAAAAACAAATAGTGATATCAAACTAAAAAAACTGATGTAAAAATTGTTAAATCCATTTACAATAACATTGTGAGCTGCTAGTGATCCGCTCTTAAAAATTGATTCATTCTTGATGAAATATCATTTCTACTATTCAATTTTCCACCACAAAACTGCTTTTCATCATTTAAAACTGCCTCTGAGAACACTGTTAAGTTATGAATATTTTTTTAATCTCCAAATCTAGCAAATTGTGTAAAACTGTAAATATGGGGGTTAATTCAAATTAAATTATCCACCTCTTTCTTTTGCGCTCCTCTTTTCATATAACGATTACTGCCTATGTTTCGATCTTCTTCAAATTTGACAACCAATGAGCCCGAGTGGAAGACTAACTGGAATGAGGTTCAACCGACCTTACAGAAAGTTCGTCGATCGTTAGCTTCTATGAGAACCTCTTCCATAAAAGTGATGAGGGTTAGTCAGCTTGATTCTGACATCCTGGACGTTGAACTATTCGATATTCTAAAGGAACAACTTTGGAGTGCTCTCTCTCTGTTTAAAGTAAAGTTATGAGAATTTAGTTTTGCCTTTACATTTTTGTGTGCCTTTTGAACTGATTATGTTCCATTATAATAGCCTACAATAAAAGAACGCTTTGAACCAGAGCTACTTGGTTTATTAAATTTGATATTGTTCAAACTATCTGTTTACGACTCCTCAGCGACTTATGGTGCTCAACTACAAAACCTGCAATATAGAAATGAGCAAAAGCATGGAGGGGCATGTAAGATAGAGTCGTATTACCGCACATCACTGTACGCTAATGCGTTCTTTTTCTCTGTCTTTAGTGGAATCAATTGCAAAAAATGCTGCTTTGACAAAAACACAAAAAATCTTATACGGTCTATTTGCAGTAGGTGGTCAATACGTCTGGACACGGTTGAATCGATATATTACATCTGAAGGATGGGGAGAATTAGAGGAGTTTGATCCCAGGAATAAGATCTATCGTGTTTTACAAACAGGGGAAAAGTATTGGAAAGCCTTTTCCTTACTGAACTTTTTGATCTTTTTACGTAACGGAAAATACCGTACGTTAATAGATCGCGTATTGCGAATGAGATTAGTATATGCCAAAAAATCAATGAATCGGCAAGTCAGTTTCGAGTTTCTCAACAGACAAATGGTTTGGCATGCCTTCACTGTAAAGTATAACTGAATGTTTTTCGTAGAGAAGACAATGAGGTGCCATATCTAACCCTTCTTTTATTCAAGGAATTCTTACTGTTTTTGGTCCCGTTGATCAATATCGAAAAGCTGAAACTGAAATTGATGCGTACACTGTTGCCCAAGTCATATCTTGTAGCATCAAAGGGACTAGATCAATTGCCTTCTCATCAATGTGCAATTTGCCATGAAAACAGTAACAATACGGCTGAAGCTACCACATCAGTATCCGCGCTACAGCAACAAGATTTAACAGTCCATAACCCTTACGAAACAGAATGTGGGCATAAATATTGTTATTATTGTATACAGAGTAAACTTGCCATTTTTGGTGACGAGTGGCCTTGTTTACGTTGTGGAGAAAAAGTGACGGAAATACATAAATATATTGAAAAAGATGATAGTTCAGATGTGGATAATAAGCAAATTCTAAATAGATGAGGATGTTTACACTAATGCTGAAATGCTTGGAAATAAATAGACAGAATGATAAAACTGGTAGTGATGTGGCATACATGATTCAACAGAGTCGGAAATGTAGCCTTCTACGGCTTACTTCCGATACATACTGTAAGCTAAGGTATCGAAACCATATTAACCGTCATCTGCTTCCATTTCTTTCTCATCAAATACTTGTTTGGCTCTTCTAATGTCTTCACTCATGTACAATAATTCCTCAACACGAGCCAACTTCTTGGCATCATTCCGCAAGACAAATTTAAAATCTTCAACTTTAACTTTACCACGGTTCTCCGCGACTTTAGAGGCTTTTTGACACTTTAAACAAGTCAAAATATTTTGGTTAAGCTGTTGAGAATGCGAAAGTCTACAGTCATTGAGTAAACTTACCATGTCGACAATGTAATCGATGACTAAATCGTCTAATACTGCAATTGAATCCGCAGCTGGATTGAGTACATCTCCGAAGCCATACATCAACAGTTTTACTAAAAGTAGGACAAGAAGACTCTTAGAAAGCCATTACAATAGTTGTTCTTCCTGCTCATTGCAAAATACATACAGTCTCTGGAGAACATTCCTTTTCGGACGGTCTTTCTTCTACCTGGTCCAACGCCAGGCTCACGATGTTCTTTTGCTTCTTTCGTATCTCGAGCTTCTTTTCCTTCTTTATTGTCACTCATGTTGCGCGAATTATAAGGTATATTTAAGAACTGAATACAAAAAGATTAAACAACTATCGAAGAAGAGCGCTTGAAGCCAGAGTTAGTTAACCTCTGCAGGAATAATCTGCTCGCCGCACAGCGGACACTCTGCTATTTTTTTATTTTTTTTGCATTTAATCCACGAACTTTATTAGAAGTGACTGGAAAAGAATTATAGATGATATATAGCAATAAAAGAAAAAGGCATAAACTGTAAAACTACTGAAAAAACCATTAAATGTATACTACGAGCTCGTACGGAGTGTTCTGAAGCAAACCTCGTCTTGGTAGACGGCACGAACTCCTGCTAGGGACTAAGAGATGCGATCAAAATGGCACCGCCAGTGATAGTTTCCACATACTTAAAAGTATCAAACCAACCTGGACGATTGTGTAGTCAGGCAGAAGAGTTAACAATATATGCCAAATGCCGGTAGGTGTGGCAGGAAAAGATATAATTTTATTTTCCTGCAGTGTCATGATCCAAAATTGCCATATAGGTGGACAACCAACGAAAAAATGAAAACCATCCTCAGGGGAGTCTTTGCAATGGTGGCAAAGAGGTGAGTCAGCAATGACAGGATTGATAGAAAACAGCCAAGCTCTGTACCAATGCAATTATGCCATAAACGCCATCATGGAGTTAGCACTGCATGAGGGATTGAGAGTGACCATAACCGATTCCATTGAGCCGGAGGCCGATACCAAAGAGGAAACACTTGGGGAATCCGAGGAGGGTCACTAAAAACGGAATAATCAGGATGCCAGTAGCGTACCAAGCGATAGCCGTAATACGGTGGTCTTCTTCTGAGAACCAGAAGGTACCACCAATGGGACATATCAGGCAACCATGAGGTGCTGTAAGATACATTGAGCCATCGTGAAGTGGGCGTAGGAGCAGCAGCCGGAGAGGAGCCCGGACATCAATCAATCGGTTCTGGATAAAAGGAAGCCATTGTATTACACCTTGGGAAAGCAAGCTAGGAATCCTTTTCAACTTCGGATAGTTCTGAAAATACTTATACCCTAGCGTGTAGAAGCAGTTAGTTATCGAAGACCAAAGTAGAACAGTAGAGACGATTAAATGCGGTGGGAGGCTATTGAGATCCATGGGTAAGGGGCATACAAACTTGGGGGAACGCTGTAATGCACTACGAAGGGGAAAATCAGCAATCCAGCGGTCATGCCATGAGGATGAAAGAGATAAAGAAGGAAGTCTCATCAGCAGTGAACATAGGTGGATCGTATTCGGAAGGAAGCGAAAGGATGAACGATAAGTGGCAGTCGATAAAATTCATGGTAGTAAGGACAACTGACCAGTATACACTTGGATACAATGGGCCAGTAATGGAGAGACAAAACCAGTTGATGAAGGGGGCTGTAGGAGGCGCTGAACATACAAGATGAAGAGCGAAATGTTGTTTGCGCAGATCCACTAAGCCTAAACCACCGAAACGTTTAGGTGAGCATAAGCGCTCCCACGATGGAGCAGGCCAGAAAGGAACCACAAAAAACCGGACAATACTACGAAGCTTATCAAGCCAATCCACCGGAACAACTACAACACGCAGGAGATGCCACAACTTACTAAGTATCAAGGAATTAGCAACTAGTGAGACACCCCGGACGGACAATCCTCGTTGTTTTAGGAGGTTACAGTGACGGACTATTTTCAGTTCTAGGAAGCTAAATTGTGTTTTAGTTGAGCATTGGTTGAGAAGAGAGGATAGCCTAGATATCTGACAGCAGATGGATTTTCAGCTGTATGAAAGGAGATAGACTCCTGATTGGCATTGTGGAGCCATGCTGTATGTGGATGACCAGAGAGGGAAACAATTTCTGTTTTTGTCAAATTGACGCGGGCATTACTAGCGTTACCATAGACTGTAAGGAGATCTTTCAAAACACGCCATTCCGTAGGTGTAGTCAAAAAAACCTCTAAATCATCCGCATAGCTCAAGAATTTGAAACGAGGGGGATGTTACCAGTCAAACAATGGCTGTGGTTCAAAACGTAGGAGTTGTCCATATCGACTAGAAAGGGCGGAGATTGAGAGCAGTGAAACGCCTTCGATGTCAGGGCTCGACAAAATGGTACGTAGTAAGGGTTCGAAAGCTAAATTGAACAACAGTGGTGATAAGAGGCCTCCCTGCCGGAGGCCACGTTGTTGGCGAACGGAAGCACTTAACCATCCATTGATGTTAAGGGATATTTCTGTGTCAAAAAATAGGCTAGATAAACAGGATACGAGGGAAGCAGGAAATCCGAAGTGCTTCATAACCATCTGGAGTTAGGTAGGATGTACTCGGTCATATGCTTTTTCTTAATCAACAAGGACAGCAACAGCAGGGTGAGACATACCACAATGGCTATAATGTGACATTATATTTGGTTAACCCACTCATTATCCGAGATTAGTCGGTGCGGTAAAAAGTCGGTCTGATAGCGATTAATCAGCTGTGGTAAAACGACATTGAACCTATTAGCTAATAGTTTTGTGAAAATCTTCGCATCAGTGTTGATCATCGATAGAGGTCGCCAGTTCTGTAAGAGTTCAGGGTCTCCCTTTTTGTACAGTAAGACCATCCGAGTCTGTTTCCAGGTGGCTGGGAAAACATTTTTAAAAGCGTCCGTATACACTTGAAGGAAGAGTTGCTTAAAGCCCGGAATGTTCCAGGAAAGCAGATAGCGGTACACCTCATACGGTATGCCATCTAAACCAGGACTTTTTCGTGAGGCAAGTGGTTAACTATAGAAATAAGTTCTTCTAATGTGGGCGGTGCTGTAAGATCATTCTGTTAAGCGCTTCTAAGACCAATCGCCTGCGGAACATTATCGAGTAACGTTCGAACTGCCGGCAGGTCTATAGGTTCGGGGCGATAAAGGTTGATATAGAACAGATAAGCTTCCTCAAGGATAGCATTAGTACTAGTTAAAACAGAGCCATCTTGACCACTTTTCAAAGAATGGATCGTTCGTTGTGCTTGTCTTTCTTTAATAACCCTGTAAAAGTATCTATTGTTGCGCTCTCCTTTTTCATGCCATCGAGTGGCTGACCGTAAAAGATGCTGCTGTGCTGATTCTTCCTACAATTTGTCTAGTTTCTGTTCAATAAGCGACACTTGTTCGTTGATTATATTAATTGTTAGCGTATTTAAGGAAAGCAGGGCTTCCTGTTGGTGTTGAAGTGCGGCAATTGTTGTCTGCCTTTTAGCAGTAGATCTATGGGAGAATAGATCTGAAATGTGCTTGAATAAATGTTTTAGAGCCTCCCAGGTACGTTGTGGGTTGGAGGTGATATTACCACGTACTTCAAAGAACTCAATGAGGGCAGTCTTTATTAAATCCACAAATATATCGTTAGACAGCAGCAAAGGGTTGAAACGTTATACCCCAGGTCCTATGTCCAAACGATTGGGTAACAGGTCAGCCATCATGATGACATGGTCTGTCCAAGTGCTAGGAAGGCATCGTTGAGTTATTTAAAGGACTCGTACGGTAATACTTTGGTGGCAGAAGAAATAATCGATGGTACTGCGAGTGACACCACGCTGGAAAGTAGGAATGCTTGCAGAGAAGCAGTTATCATAATAGTGAGTGAGGTGACGATAGCATTCATGAAAGCTAGGATTGGTTGAAGTGGTTGATAGAGAAGCTAGCGACATATTAAAATCTCTAACAATAAAGCTGACATCTGGAGGCTCCTTTGTAAAAATAGGTTGTGACATCAAAGAGGTGAGGAAAGGCATTCTATCATGGGTAGTTGCTGGAACATAAATATTAGTGATAGAGTATATAGAATTACGGGTAACTTTCAAGAGTATTACCAAGCCATGGGATATAAGGGCAGGATGAAGATAGAAGAAGAATTGAAACAGCAACAGGGTATCAAAACCATAGAGTCACTAATCCCATCTGCTATCGTGGTCATATACAGTATATGTGCGCACATACGAATATTCTGCGTCAGTTCTATGGGTACAGAACCGCAGAGCTGAACTGGAAGAATTTCCATGGAAGACAAGTATCCTTAGAATATGCTACAAACATACTGCTGATTGGAAGAAAGAAGTATAACCCGCAGAAGAGATCACGGCATATGAGTAAAAGAAATCACAAGAGACGTAAAAAGCAAAACAATCGCAGAAATCCCGGCAGAGCTCATCAATCAGTCAATATCATGTAAATAGAATGATTCAAATATGCGCACAGTATGCGTTACTGTAATGTATTCTAACTTTTCTCTGGATAGTCGTCATACGTACAAAAGGTCATTCGAACTTGGCGATAAGTCCAAAATGCCACTGGTACTGTTTGGTGACGGGTTAACCAATAGAGCACAAGTTCGCTTTAAAGGTTTGCAAGCCGGTGTTTCAAGGAAAATATACAAGCATTTGAAAACTAAAGAGAAACAAGGGCTAGTGTTAGTATTAGATATTGATGAATTTCGTACGTCAAAGGTATGTAATCAATTGCAAATGATCATAAACATAGCTTAAAACTTTGATTTACATCAATCTGTGTATAGATCTGTAATTCGTGTAAATTGTCGGATGTAAGAAAGTATCGTTCTCGTACACCAAGTAGAGAAATCTATCAAATACTCTTTTGCAGAAATTGTAGTATTTTTTGGAATCGTGATGTTATGGCGGCTCAAAGCATGTATCATATTGCTCAAGAGATTTAGGGTGGTCATGGAAGACCTGGCCCATTTTGTCGTCAATCACAAAGCGCCACAACGAATGTGGTTGTTTCTCCTCGATGGGAGACTTAAAGATTCTACAGGAAGTAAGTCTACATTTTATCAATAATATATACAAAAATATTGTACTCAAAATCCCAATTTTTTTCTTCTTTAATCTGAAAATCACCTCAATGCTGTCCGAAACTGAACCGAAAAGACTGTATTTAACCGTATTGCTACTTAAAAATATAAAGTTACAGATATCCCTCAGAATGTGTTGCTCAATGTCAATTTTCAAATTCAGTCTTTACAAAGTCACAAAACTTTTATTTCTCGCTAATGCTTTAAATTGTCCTCCTTCACAAAAAAACGAGGTCCTTGGATACAGTAACAGGCAGCATGTTCACCAAGACAACTTTGCCCCCTCATGCCACGGCCAGCGAAGTTGCCCTCTTCTCTGCACCGAACTTAGCCAATAATAGAAAACGCAATAATTTGTCATTGAAGGAAATCCAATCCGACAACATTTCAAAACTTGCTGAGAAGCATTTCAAGAGCAAGTTCGATTCAAATGTTGTGGAATCTATTTATCAAAACGAGTTGGAAGCAACAAATTTCAATACATCAAAAATTCTGTTACTAGAGTTTTATAGATATTTGGAAGAGGTAATATCAACAGATTAAAGCAAGTGGAAAATTTGATTACTGAAGCATTACCAAAAATTAGTATCTTTGGCCGTTCTATTCTGAAAAATCTTCTACGAACCATGTAATTTCAATTTGTTTGATTGTGAATGAAAAGGCTCGACAAAATATTCCACGCTGGGGTAAACTTTATTAGAAATCTTACATTGGTAGTTAACCTGCGTTTTACTGACCGCATGTCCTACTCTCATAGACGCTTTCGCAAACGATCCTGAGAGATTCTCTGCATTCTTCAAGCGTGTTACTCACATGATACTAGAAATGAATGACAATTCATCGCGTTTTGTGTTGAAGCAGCTCTTGACTTTTATGGTTTACTGTTTTGAGAGTTTTGAAAACGATATGGTGCGTGCCGAGTGTTTGAAGTTAGTAACCATAGGCATTTGGGAATATTTGGCTTATGGAGAAGAACGAAGAACTGAACTCTTTCAGCAATACCCTGCTTTGAGAAAATTATGGAATTCAAATAACAAAAAAATAGCTAATGCTGGTAAGGTAGTTTTTTTTTGTAGCTTTTTTTTAGAGAGCTTCGACTGTAACAGCGGGCATTAACACCTTTTTTCGTTTCTCAATAATTTGATATCACAGATGAGGCAGGCAAATTACAACTACAGTTCGAAAAAAGCTGGCTAAGCAACTTATTGAAGAAATATGTTGAATTGATATACAAGATCCCCGCAAATGGAGAAGGTAAAGTGTTGATACTGCAGCGTGTTCGTCCACTAGTTTTAATTGTTGGATAAACCGTTCTATAATTATAGTCAGCGAAGAAATTATTCAATTATGTGAGCGTTACTTGGAGCTATTCATCGGTTTAGAAGCTCAACTGCCTACTCGTCGATTTTTCAACATGCTAGTGGAAGACCACCAAATCATTGTTCTAACAGAAATGGCTCCCTTTATGCAGCGAGATGACTCAAGACAGTTCGAATTGTTAAAGAAACTTTTATCCTCTTTGGCGTTCTATGCTAAGTTTGAAATAAATGATCAAACCGGCGTAGCTCTGACTGAATTAGAAATGACTGAAGCTCATTGCCAACAATTACTTCAATTACAGGTACCACCAGACAAACAAACAGAAGACGCGGGAAAAAAAGAAACTAACCGTTTGTATTCAATAGCGTATTGCTTTTCGCTTTTTCAGTGAAGAATTGAAGGCCTTGTCTTTATCGAACTTAGGGTCTATTGAAACCCGCGAAGATCTATTGTGGCACCTAACACCACTTTCCGAAAGCACCTTAAGCCAGCTTTGTGATCGACTTTTCCTTCGCCACACGCCAGTTTTTGAAGTTGATGGTATCAACTTTAAAGATTATATGGTTAACCTGTTAATTCACAAATATCAGAAGCGTATTAGCCAGGTTCAGCAGATTAATCAGCAGCCTTTATATCCAGATGAGAAGACTTTATTTGACAAGCATCTTGTTCAAACTCAACTGTACTCCGGAGAGCGACCTTTAGCTTTGCCCAAGCTGAATTTACAATTTCTGACTTTATACGATTATCTGTGGAGAAACTTCACGCTGTTCAGATTGGAAAGTTCTTACGAAATTAGACAGGATATTGAAGATGTTGTAAAACGGTTAGCGCCTAGACTGGTTTATTCAGAGCGCACTAAAACTGAATTTGCTGGTTGGGCAAGGATGGCTGTACCAATCGAAGACTTCAACATTGTCGATATCGGAGAAGCTAATCTTGGAGAAGATAGCCCTTCTACAGTCCGGGCTGATGTAAGGCTTTTATAACGAAACTAATAATGCTGGTATAAATGGCTAAGGTTGTGCGTTCCTTATTATTTTTTCAACTTAGGTTGGCTTTGATATTGGTCAATTTAGTAGCACAATACGCAATGAATGGGATGGCTTACGAAAGCATGATGTTCTCTTTCTATTAGCGATTGAAGCCAAAGAAAACTCTTCTGAAGCTTTAAAAGATGATGAAGAGTTTAAGGAGCATTACGGTATCAAGTACATACGTGGTTGTGAGGTCATAGATATTGTTGGAAGTGATGGTAAGCAATCAATAAGACTAAGGCTAAAGAAAGCTATTGCTATGGCTTGGCATACTAATGTATTTAATCTGAATACAGGCCGACCAGTAGAAGAGTTCAAGCTTTCTAATCCCGCAGATAAAATGGAACGCTTCAAAGGGACTCGTCGCACTCTACGTGTTGAGCTAGACTCTAATCAGTTTAAGGTAGGTCGTTTTGCTAAAAACGCGTCAGTGAACATTCGTAGGAATAATATTGCTGATAAGTTTATTTACACTCGTAGATTGATATGGATAATGTCAATCATAAGCACTCAGAAAACGTATATCAAACTTTCAACATTCTTGTACGCAGAAAATCCAGAGAAAACAATTTCAAATCAGTCTTGGAAACCATTCGCGATTTAATGAACAGCGAAGTTGTAGTACCTGATTGGCTTCATCGTGTGCTGTTAGGCTATGGTGACCCTGCTAGCGCCCACTATACCAAGATACACAATCGCGAACACTCCATTTCATTCCATGATACGTTCAAAGATTGGCATCACTTTAAGTCATGTTTTCTTGACAATAATGCGAACAGACAATACGATTTAGTTAGCGGAGCACAAGAACCTTTAGCTCCACCTTATAGAATCACTTTGAGCGATGATATGATGGATGTAGACAACAAAGAACAGCCAACTACCAATAAAAAGTCCAAGAAAGCGAAGAAGCCTGCAGCTACATCAACTATAGAGCACTTTGAAGTTGCGACTGATTTCGTGCCCAATCGCGGCCCTTATTTAGAAGATCAAATAAAACAAAACACGACTGTACGCTTCACACCAGCTCAATCCGAAGCTATTTATGCCGGTATGAACCATGGCTTAACATTGGTTGTAGGTCCTCCCGGAACAGGTAAAACCGATGTAGCCGTGCAAACAATGGCTAACCTTTACCGCAGCCATCCTGACCAACATACATTAATCGTCACCCACAGTAACCAGGCTCTCAACCAGATCTTTGAAAAACTATTAACATTGGACGTTGATCCTCGCCATTGTGTACGATTAGGTCATGGTGAAGAAGAAATGAAAACAGAAATGAGCTTCAATAAGTACGGACGAGTAGCTGCAGCTTTAGAACGTCGTGTGGAATTGCTTAAGGAAGTAGACCGCTTAGCGCAATCAATGCATATATTGGGCGAGCATGGGTCTACTTGTGAAACAGCGCATTACTTCTATAACGCGCATGTTTCTTCTCAATGGCAGATGCTCGTAAATAATATAGAAGGATTCAATACTGTTGAGCAGATACGCGACAACTTTCCTTTTGCAGAGTTTTTCGCAAATGCCCCACAACCTGTTTTTACTACAAATATGACTGTCGATGAAGCTCGGGAAATTGCTAATGGTTGCTTCAGGCACCTTCAAAAACTGTTTGATGAACTGGATGATATTCGTCCTTTTGAGCTTCTAAGATCCGGCAATGATCGTGCTAATTACCTACTCACTAAAGAATGCAAGATAGTTGCGATGACTTGTACTCACGCTGCCATGAAACGGCGTGAACTTGTTGATTTGAACTTTAAGTACGATAACATCATCATTGAAGAAGCTGCTCAGATTTTGGAAATAGAAACCTTTATACCATTATTATTGCAAGAGCCCGATAAAGATGAAAACCAAAGACCAAATTCACGTTTAAAGAGAGTTATGCTAATTGGCGATCACCACCAATTACCTCCAGTTGTTCGAAACACCGCTTTTCAACAATATGGTAATATGGAACAAAGTATGTTTACAAGATTTGTAAGATTAGGTGTACCTATTTTACAATTGGATCAACAAGGTCGTGCTCGCCCTTCTATAGCCAAGTTGTTCAATTGGCGTTATGATAATTTACAAGATTTAGAAAAAGTTAAAACACAGGAAGCGTATCAGATGGCCAATCCAGGCTTCCAATTCGATTTCCAAATGATTCATGTGGACAAATATCAAAATCAGGGCGAAACAGAGCCTGTACCTTATTTTTATCAAAATCTGGGTGAAGCAGAATATATCGTCGCTGTATACCAATATATGCGATTAATAGGTTATCCCGCCGAGTCAATTTCAATTTTAACAACGTATAATGGACAGAAGGCGCTGATCCAAGATGTATTGGAAAGAAGATGTGGTTGGAATCCATACTTTGGGAATCCAGCTGTCATCGAGACCGTTGATAGATATCAAGGACAACAAAATGATTGTAACTACGCTGTTGCTTTTTATTCTTACATTCATAAAGCGAAATACTTACCGAAATTCAATTGTTTTAGATGTCTTACTTTCACTGGTCAGGACGAAAACTGTCGGTTATATTAGAGACGTGCGTCGCTTAATAGTTGCTATGTCTCGTGCCCGATTCGGTATTTATGTTTTCTGTAACAAGCAATTGTTCCAAAATTGTCATGAGCTGGAGCCTGTGTTTAAGCAGTTTAACCAAAGACCAGATACTCTACACTTGGTAAAAAATGAATCTTATCCTGTTACAAAGAAGTCTGGACGTAAATTGGACGATAAGGTACCCACCGAAATTTCGATGGATATTAAGAACGTAGAAGATCTCGGTCAACTGGTATACAAACTTAGTCAGGAACAGTTTGGGACCATGCGACAGGTAGAATTACAAAGTGCGAAACAAATGGAAGAAGAAAGTACTATGTGAGGAGATGAACAATATAATGATGAAGTGATTTAAAATGTAGTAGATTTCGTTACAGATATTGATTTTTGCTATGTTCTTTGCTATTGCAATAAAGACCTCTATCATTTTCTTTTGTATCCAATCACATAGTGATTGTCCCTGTCGTAACCGGTTGTTTCTATTTCTACACCATCAACTTGTTTAAATAAATCATCCAATTCACCTTTCTTAAAGAGATGATAATATCGATGGTAGACTTTGTCTGTTTTCGCTGTTTCCGCTGTCGAATTTTGCAGTTGCAATGATTGTTGATGTGTCATTTTCCAAGGTACAAACACATCCTGCTGACCAGGTTGGAAATTTCTTTTACTGAATTTCGTTTGTTCTAATGCCCACACAAACACTAATACTCGACCGCCGGGTTTGACTATTTTAAATAAGTCTTTTATGGCTTGTAACCGTCTTTCCGGGCTAGCAAAGTGATGGATAACAGCTATGGATATAACAAAATCCTATGCATTGAATTAGAATGGGAGCCTTTCAGCAATCGCCGATAAACAGCTTGCACATGTCAGAGAGACTTACAAAGGCTTCATCTCTGTAGGGTAAGTTGAGACCGTCGGCTACCATGCCTTCAAAACCACGATCACGCACTATCTTGATAAGATTTGAGCTTCTGTTAATCAAGCAGTAAATACTTTAGTTGCCACTGCTTTATTCGCTCAAAGCTTCTCAACCTAGTATAAGCCAACTACTTACCGATCTGATCCGAGTATCATAATACTTTTATTGACGCCAATATATTTACCATTTCCACAACCAACATCAGCACCCAAACTCCCTGTAGGTAATTCTAGCAGAAACTGCTCTACTATTGGCCACGGCTTATAACGGGTATCACTGAAATGAGTCGCTATTTGTTCGTAAACTTCGTGAACGTTTTTTTGCTCGTATTCCTCCTGACTGTCGACAGGAGTCTTAACAGCAATCGGTTGGGGTTTATTAGCCATTATAGAATCTGAATCATAAAAAGAAAAAAAAAATCGTTGCTCGTTTTCACTGTCAACCTAACTGCAGTGGTAGAAGTCGTGTTGAAACTCAGATAAAGATTTACAGAATTGCGCTAGTCTAAAAAGAAGATAACTACACAGTAAAATGCAACATGTTCGACAAACCATGTATTAAATTGAGGCATAACAATTGAACAACGACTTCATATACCATTATTTATGAAAGCATTGGAGATTCAAAATGTGAAATAAACAACTGATGAGGGACCTTTTATTATATACTTTAGATTGTTATTCGGTGTATTTATTTTACATCTGCCCAGCTGTAAGAGTGTTTATTTTTGATTTAACAATAAGTTGCTGTTCACTGCGCCGCTGCTACAGCATATAGTCTAAACTAGAGTTTGTTATTATGTTGCCTCTTTTCTTGCATGTCTCTCAAGCGTTGCTCATCGCCAGGTGTTAACCATGTACCATTCGTATCCCTATTTTGAATCCATACTTTACTGAGTAAAACTAACATTTAAGGATATCAGGCGTAGCATGTTCTGAAAACTTTACTGTTCGTATTCTCTTAACAAAGGCTTGAAAACATAGACACCTGTACCAACGCCTACCGCAATGGCAATACAGTATTGGAATGCTCTGCTTGAGATCATTAAGATTTTTTGTGGCAAACAAAAAAATGAAAAAGTTCTACGGGGTGATGCATGCAGAAATCATTTTGACGCTCAGAAAAAATTGCATGAAAGATTCACAAATATAAAAAAAAGGTTTCCAATACATTACAAATGAAGCTTCAAAGTATAGCAGCATTAGAAAGATGCCCTTTGACCAACAACAGTCTTCGAAAACCAATTCAGCCATCTATTTTGTAACTGGTGCAGTGGCTATTTTACTTAGCTACTCTATATATTCACATTTAAAAATAGCGTCAAATCGCAGTGATCAATCTATAAAGCGAACTATTGGTCGATCTGAAAGAAAACTAGACGATGGTAATTTTGAAAGCTACACGCTTTGAGATTCTCAAATTCATTAACTAAATTACGCTCTAGCTCTACAACTAAAAACATTGGCATACTTAATGCAATCAGACAATGCCAATATTCGTCACAGGTCAGACTTAACTTTATAATAGACCACTTGAAAGAATATAACCCTTTTATAACTGACCAACACAGCCTTCTCCTAAAGTTCAACAAAAATTATTCTTGATAGAGCTATATCAGGTATTTGACACAGTCCAAAATGTCATCAAAATGAAAACAAAAATCTGACACGCTCTGTGGTTACAGCTAGATATCTGGGACAGATTATTGCTGCATGTACTAATAGTCAGCCCATAGCAGTTAAGATAAAAGCTCTGCTTACTTTGCAACTACTAACCAAGAAAGGTACTGCGAAAGTGGAAATGTCTTTATTCGATGGAGCGATTATCTCATTTAAGCTTATTGCAATAGAAAGTAATAGAGCAACCTTAATACGAGCAGGCGCACTGGATGTATTAGTTGACGCTTTAAAGTGCACAGATCCTGAGTTAAAGGACACCGTTAAGAGATCTGTCGCCGTTGCCATTTGTGATTTGATTCAGGGTAGTGGTAAGTAACTAAATGAAAACCACGGTGTGAATGCGGCTTGTATACAATACTAATGCATAGGAAACGTGATGATTCTTTGCAGACGATAATAAGTCTCACATCATTGAATTAGGAGTACTGGAGCCAATAAAGGCTACTCTAACATCAAGTGATATTCGTAACAATGAATTAAAATATTGGACTTTAATGATATTATACCAACTCTCACTGATTGGTAATATGAACCACTTCCTGTAAAGATTTGGAATTACAATGCAATAATGGCCTAAATATTATCTTCCTGCGGTAATCATAGATCCCGTACCCAAATCACTGCGTATGAACGGGTTTGTCGGTCTACTAGCTTGCATGGCCCGCACTACTTACGGAAACACTAATATGCCCAAGTTTTGTATGCAAGGCCTAGTCCGTATCACTGCAAATATTGACGATTTGTACGAGGCACGAGCAGTCTTGCATGAGTTATTACAATATGACATCGTAGACCTAATTTCCAACTGTCTGCGACAAGGAGACGATGTCGAGTTGATATATTGGGCTGCAGGATTGATGCACGAGTTTGTACTGAAAGAAGTAGCAGTCGACCAGTTCAGAGCAATTAAAGGTATCCATGCGATACTCACGGGTTTATTGTCAGCAGAAGAAATGTATATATCTCGAGTTATTTTGAGAATTATCAAATTCATGGCTTTCGACCAACAGGAATTCAAGGGAAAGATGGTTGAGTCAGGAATGATTAAGAAGATCATGCACTGTCTGTCGCTAGAGGATGACGATGTGAAATACTGGGCCACATTGTGTATTCACGTTGCAGCAGGAGAGACCAAATCCCATGAGCAAATCGTTACAGCACCTGAATTTAAATTGCTGTTGGAATCATCTTTTTCGCGAAAACTGGAAGTAGCGCTGTTCGTGTCCGATATTCTATCATTAATTTGCTGCATATGTAAGTTGTTTCAGTTGCACAGCGATAATGATGTATTTATTGATCACAAAGGTTTCTCGTATAGCAAGCAATAATCCTTTCATGACACCGAAAATAGATCAGATAATCGCAGCGCTAAACACTTTTTTGAACAATGAGGATGTAGATGTTCAATATAACGCCGCAGGGGCTATATATAATGTTATGGCAATGACATGTAAGTGTTGATGGCAATAACTACTTTAAACGGGATCCTAAAAAAGACAGCAGAATGATTGACCAGGCTCCTATCTTCGTAGACCCATTTGCCAATAAAGTACGCGACGTTTGCTTCAGCACTCTAATTGACCGTAGCATATCTGCTTCTGATGAAAGAGTCCAATTAACATGCACGAAAGGCGCCCTTATGCTGGCTATCAAGAGTAATTGATCATATATGGTTATTTTCAGTTTATGAGTCGAATGAAAGCTAATAGACAGATTTCCAATTATAGATCATTTTCTCATACCTCAAGTAAATCAACAGGTGACTGAACCCCTTATAAAAAAGTTAACTGATATATCAGCAGCAATTTTACCGGTGATGGTGATTCAGTCGTTTCGTCATTCAAGCAAAAAGCTTAGTACACTTACAGTTGACGATAAAAAAGAGGACATCAGTGACTATAGTTCTGACGAACATATGGATATTATGAACGCTCAAGTATACTGTGGCTTATTCAAATCCAATGATAACCATCGGAATGACCCTCACGATTGTGAGCAATGGGAAAAGTATTGCATGTCTACAACTACAAAACAGCAATTGACGGGTGCCCTCTCTTCTCTCAATATTCTTTTAGAAAACAATCATATTTTGCGAGATGTTTTGACGAGAGAACAGCAACATGCTGTTAAGTGCTCCGTGTTAGGTGTGTCAGAGAATTGTATGCCTAACGTGGATGATATCAATTCTTCCATCCATGAACAACAGAACTGTGTACCATTAGATACTGAGGAAGACAATTCATATTTCGAAAAAACTCAAAAAAAGCCTTCGCTTTTCCAAGAAGACGCTCTTTCTTTGACACCGTCTCCATCATCAGTATCGGCAGCCACAGCAATAACATCAGTAACCTCTTTATCGAAGCTGACTGAAGCTAAACGCCGGTTTATTGACAAGTTAGTCTTTTTGAGTCTTTATCCAGTTTTAGATGAATGGACTTCTATCAAGCATCAGCAATACCTATTTGATTCTACTATAAAAAATGAATATGAAGTAACTGGTATCTACCGTGAGATGATTGAGTGGATCAAAAGCTACCTAGTGTTACCTACGGGTCCGTCAGTGCAAGATCACATTCCTTTTTCAACCACGCAATGCGATGAGAAACAATTACTAGCTCAACATCGAAAAACGAAATTTTCACTTCAACGCAGAGCGGTTAGGCGTACGTCAGTGTCCAAGAAAGCTTCATCTAGCAAAATTACCACTAAAGATCAGCATAACGGAGAGCAAGTTGCAGAGGAAGAAGATCACGGTATATGTTTCAATATTTATGCTGATGTCAAGTCTGACAGAAGTAGCGGTTTCGATAGCGAGAGTAATAATAGCATTATAATTGAAGAAGAAACTCTGCTTCACTCTTTAAGTAGCAGGCACGATCCGCAGGTTGAACAGCAACTACCATCAGCGGATAGAAGTGTTGGGCTTCAATCAGCTGCTGAAACTAAAGGAAGAGCCGAGTTAGCTGAAGTCAATGATTTGTTTCCTATGTCTTTTATTGGTTCTTCGTCTGAAACCACTTCTGATTATATAGCACATAAAAGATGCCAGTATCTTGTCTTTACCAATCGTGCACTATGCCTATTGAATTCAGTTTTGCCTAACGGTAAGCAGATGTTAAGATAGCTTATGGAGCGTTAGTATCTTTTTGGGAATAACAATTGCTAACCTTTTGCTAGACACTATAAGAAAATATCTTATTTATAGTGCCAACTTTATCTATATTTTAGTATATTTATTAGAGCATTGTTTGAAGACTAGTAGTATGAACACTTATATTAGTCGTCAATACGTTTCCATGGCAGATTGTACGTTAGCCTGTTTGGCGAAATTATTTACACACGAACAACAGTTGCTGTCTTCAAATGGTAATGGTGGGGATGTAATAATACCGAAGCAGCTTCTTCGACGTTTAGGCGTACTTGTATGGCAAGATATTCTTACTCAAACAGCGGCGTATGCTTTCCTTGATGCCAGCGGCCTGAAAAAAGAAAAGAAACAAATAATTCCTCGATTGTTTCACAGCCGTAACATTTTAGCCTGTTGTAGACAGTTCGCGCTCTACAATGACTATAATTATGATAGCCAAATGAAAAGTAGCAAGGGAAAGCCATATGTCAAAATTGATGAAATAATGCGTTCAAATTATTGCCTCGTAGATCTCGAGACAAACCTTAATGTGAGAAACGATACCTGGACGTTTGAAACAGTTCGTGGTACGCATTGTGTACCTGCCTTACAACACCCTATCCGGATACAAAGACATCGCCAGCATCACAGATATGCTTATGAAATTGTTCTAGAATCCGATGGTCTTATGCAAATTGGATGGGCCACTGATCATTTTCAATTTGATCCTGAAGGTGGTAAAGGCGTTGGCGACGATATTCATTCTTATGGCTATGATGGCTTACGCTGTAAAAAATGGCATCGACGTACCTACGAGCATGATCAACATTATGCTGACAGCGAAGCAAAAGATAAACATACATCAAGTCTGACCTGCACGTACGGTTTGAGATGGTCCGTAGGAGATGTGATAACTTGCGCTATAGATATGGATCGAGGAGAACTACGCTACTTCAAAAATGGCGTAGATATGGGCGTAGCATTTAGAAGTATGGCGATTACAACAAGGGATTGGTATCCAGCGGTCTCTTTAGCAACAGGACAACAGTGTCGTTTTCAATTTGGTGATAAGGTGAATCCGATGAAGTATCTTCCGGAAGGTTATGTACCTATTAGTGCTTTGGCAAAATGTACTGAAAAATATAGTCAGAAAATGGATGCTTCTGATTTAGTGGACGACGAAGAACCAGTAAATCTTCAAGCTTCCGTGCTTATAGACGACGGTGAATTCATAGCTGTAAACAACGAGGATTTCTATTATACAACTGAAGAGGAAGCAAAAGCTAAAAATAATAAGGGATTGAAATCCTTTGTCCGAAATAATACAGAAGTAAAGGAGCAAAAAGCAAAAGCGCCAAAAATTTGTAATTTTAGAAATATGCAAAACCATGATTGTCCGAACATATCCCTCTACTTTGAAGTGACGGTCGGAACATTGAATATAGAGGAAGTACCGAGGTTTGGATTTTATGACATAACATCCAATGAGAACATTTTCTTTGAGTATAGTCGTAATAGAAGGATTTTCATAATGAAGCAAACAGACGCTACGTCTCCAATTACGTATTTGGAACTGAGCATTACTGATGGAGATACAGTTGGCGTAGCTTATATCGCACATATGAAACGAATAGGTCTCATACTAAATGGTGAATTTGGCGGTAACTATATATAAGTTTGTTGTGTTTATGGATATTGTACGCGCTATTAATTGCTCAACATTTTACTAGCCTTTGTGGACTTGGAAGAACATAAAATTTGTAATAGTCCATCATTCTCCCAGCCGCTTGTGAAACTATCTCAAGAAAATTTCTACGTTAATTACGGCGAAAGACCCTTTGTCTGGAAAGCAGCCAATTGCCAAGCATGCAGACAGCATAGCTTGTCTTATCTTGTAGATCAATTATAACCTATTCTTCATTGACGACACAAATACTGCTGCTTAAGCATTTATAAAGCTATACTCGAACAATACAAGGAGGCATATACTTAGTGTGCACGCTAAATGAACGTTATAAAAGTGAGACAGCAAACAACTTGTGAGGCATTAGTTTCTGGGATAAGGCCTCGAGGAGTATAATTGTTAATATTGCTACTGTCTAGTTCTCTCAACAAAAAAAAAAGGAGGGGGGGATGTGTGTGGTTAACAGTCATTCTTTAATTCTGCTCGGAAGCAACCAATCAAAGTTAAGACAAAGACATCATAAGATTAATCAATGCATCAACGGCAAGAGTCATGAGCCATATAATCTTCACCATTGATTAGTGAAAGCGTAAGGATGATTATGGCTTTGGTACCCGTACTTTTTCAATACAGACGACGTATGGTTGTTGATGCTTTGTGACATATCTCACTTAAAGGAAACTTTAATAGTGACAACATAGTTCTGCCTTCCACTTAGTATGCATAATTAAAATCCAACGCAAGAGAAGCATTTACGTACAAGAACCCAAACTCTTTTTCTGTCAGGCTTCTCAGAACCTTTCTTCAATCCAAAATCTTTACGTTTGCCTACTTCATCTATTTCTTTCTGAGCATCCTTACATCTTCAGGTTCAATATTAAATAAGTTTTCCTGCGAAGGCTGTTTCTAATCATGAATTCCCAATTTAATGTATCTTCGATAGCCTCTACAACATTTGTGCTTCACAGCTACATCTTCTTATGCTCATACAGCCGTTTTATTCAGTCTAACAAATTCGTTGCTCCTTTCAAGTTCAGTATTTCTGGCTTTTGCCAAACCGTTTACTGCCCAAGCTATTGTAAGGAGTTGAAATACTACTTCTGTAGTCTAATCAATTTTTACTTACAATTGTTGAAGCAGCTTGCCATTTTATGTACAGCCCTTCAATTTATGGGAACGCTTCGATTTTCTTTGTTACAAATATGTTTGACGTTTCGATTCGGGCGAATTGGAACAATCGCCTTTGTCAGCGGACGAATTTGTGAATTCTGTACTGTTTTCTGTTATAGCAAAACAATGATATACTAAAAATACATTTAGGAAACCTACTCTTTATTTTCATACATTTATTACGTTTAAGCCTTCCTAGCACCCAGCAAACAAATGTAAGATTAGAGGAAAAGACTTGTTCACCCTTCAAAACAAATGTGCCCACCATAGCTTTGTGACTTACAAAAAAGGCATATGTTGAACGATTTTAACCCCACAATTTTTATGGCCTGTTCTTGACAAAAGGACCAGGCTTTTTTTTTTTTTTTTTTTTTTTGTCCTTCTAAGGAGTTAACAATTTGTAGCCATGTCAATCTTGAGTCATACCGCAAAGCAATTTACAGCAACCTCAACAACCAAAATACCATATAACATCGGCTTCTTAATACGACCTAATACACTATGTCTCCAACAGAAAAATAGTATAGGTTAGCTTAGGAGCAAATCTCCTTTGAATGGAAGTAAAACGCTGGGTGGCGAAAACTAAGGAAAGTTTAATTGATTACATAGAGCTTAATCAAATGCGTTGGGCTACCAAAAGAGCAGGTGGCTCCTCGCGTAATGGTAGAGATTCTGCAGGCAGAAGATTAGGTATAAAAAAATATGGTGGTCAAGAAGTGATACCCGGCAATATTATCGTTCGACAGAGGGGCACTAAATTTCACGCAGGCGACAATGTACGTTAAGACATATGGTGTTCTCTTATTGAAATAGGATATTTATCGGCATTTTTTGTTTTATTATGATAGGTGGGTATGGGTAAAGACCATACACTCTATGCACTGGAACGTGGATATGTCAAATTTTACAAAGATTCCGAACAACCAAAACGTAAATTTGTGGGTATCGTATATGATCGCGAAGCGTCACTTCCCATTCCTAAGAATGAGCCCAAGCCGAGAAGGTTTGATTTAGTTGATTTGACTACGATCTAATGGCGCAAGCGTTGGGCTCAAACTATATGTATAAACAATTGTATATCTGCAGTTCATATAAACGAGAATAAAAAACCTATGTAAATAATTAGCATCACCTCGTCAAATATTCACATCTTGGCTACTTTAGAAGAAGGTGAATGTCTCTTTTCTTATCAAAGAAGTCTGCACCGTAAAATTTTCGGCGGAAGACGTATGACAGAGAAACGGATCAAGATCAATAAACGTTCAAACAACTTTTCTTAAGATACAGTAAGCTAAACCTTGTGGACAGACAGATAAACTACATATTGAAATTACCCACGGCAGCTCAAAATTATGAGTATGAAAAACTTTCAAAGGGGCCAGGGAAAAAAGGCAGTGTTTCATGAAGCAGACAATGGGATAACAGGATGATCAATTGCTGAGTGTTGTGAAGGCATAATAACAATCCAATAGTAGTTGTCCGAAATTTCCTGACGGTGCTGGGGCGTTTTCTCGTGATACAATTAATCGATTCCATGTAGTAACTATTATACAATCGGCCATAGTGCTCCAAGGAATGGAATTTGTGGTATTTGGCGTTGTTTGGTAGCAAATAGCACGTGAAATTGATATGAAAAGCTTAACAAGTCCAGCTACATCAAATTTATTCGATCTAAAATCCATATATCTTCTTCATGTTTGTTGTAACCAACATCAGATTACTGTTGAATTATTTCATATTACTAAAATAAGAGACTGCAAATCCTTACCGTTTTATTTCTCTTTCAAAACAAACTAAAGAAAAAAAAAAAAAAGAAAACTAAAATTACTGCTATAAATAACGTGTTATGGTGTCTGCGGTCTACGAGTGTCTATGGCTGACACTGATGCATATGGCCATATCGAGTAAAAGGTTTCCGTACAAGGATAGATCATCCTTTAGGCGGATAATTACTCATCTATCCTAGTACAGAATGATTTGTAATGTGTATCCGGTATATCCGCGGTGATCATGCAGCTATATCTACTGTATAATCTAATATATGTTGGCCACCAGTTATGTAGCTCGGATATTGTGCGAATAATTACAACATATGTTAGTTTGGAAGAAATCTTCGTGCATGGTGTTCTTGATCGCGTGAACATTTGTGGTTTTACTAAAGAGCGACTGTGCCTTTCACTCCTCCAACCATACTTTATTCACTGAACAGGAAGCAATACCGTGACGTTCTATGTTCTGGTTGTCGAATCAGAATATCTTACGAGTACATATACCAATCCTGCTATATACGTAAGCGTCATATCGCTATATATAACCTAGGCAAAATATCCTCTATAAAGATAACCTGCTCGGTTCTTATTATGTGAGGTAGTTAATCCTACATAAGAATTACATTTAATCCATTTTCTTTACTTTTTCATCTTTATTTATTACTTGTACATTTAATCTAAACTCCAAAAACCGCTTACCAACAGGAGCGAACATTTGAGCAGTGCTCATATTTGAGCTTAAAGTTTTATTTTAATAATTGGGTAGACGTTGCGACTGATTTCTTTATGGAAATTTTCTTAATACAC